AACCCGAGGACGGTGACGAAGCAGCTTATCTCGAGAATGACAATTCCCTTGGACACACACCCACGGGCCTGCAGATACTTGGACTATGGGTCGCCGTCCAGAGCCCGCCGCCGCCATCACCGCGCGAGCCAACGACTCTGTCGCAGGCTCTGGGGGGGGAACACAAGGCGAAATGGAAGGAAGCAATGGAAAAGGAACTAAAGGCCCTACAAGACCGAAATACGTGGAAGCTGGTACCTGCAACAAAAACCAACGGGAAGAATGTGCTCTCAGGGAAATGGGTGTACCGCATCAAGACCAATGCGGATGGCTCCATCGACCGCTTCAAGGCTCGCTGGGTCGTACGAGGATTCGACCAGCGTTACGGAACCGACTACACGGAGACATTCGCCCCAGTCTCCCGACATATTTCCCTGCGCATTCTGCTCGCCATCACGGCCACGAAAAGGCTACCAGTGCGCCAGATCGATGTCGCCAACGCCTTCCTGTACGCACATGTGGACGCCGAAATCTTCGTCGAGCAGCCCCACGGATTCATCGACGATCCCACAAAAGTGTGCCAGCTGGTAAAATCCCTCGACGGAATAAAACAAGCCCCGCGGCTCTGGTAGCAGCACCTTTACGGCCGCCTCGTCAGGATCGATTTTCTGCAGCTGCCGCACGATTAGATGTACCGAATACAGAAGGGGGGGGACTTTGTCCTACTCATCGTCTACGTCGATCACCTACTCTACGTCGGCTCCACTACCGAAGTCGCCACCTGGTTCGAAGGGGAGATGAAGAGTGACTTAGCACTCACGGTGTCAGACACCGTAGGCCAGTACCTAGGTCTAAACATCGTCGAAGACGACTCGGCGTTCTACCTACGCCGGAAAATACGCAGGCGTTGTCGCGAAGAAATTCGGCCTAACGCCAGTCGCAGTCGCGACTCCCTATCGCTACGGGAATAACAATGAAACCTCGGCAAAGCTCCCTGCAAAGCAAATCCAGAAATATCAACAGAAGCTCGGCTGTCTACTGTTCGCAGCAGTAACCTGCTGACCTGATCTGTCCTACAGCGCGAGCCAACTGGCGACACAAATGAAGCAGCCGGAGCAAGAGGATCTCGAGGAGCTAAATCGGGCACTGCTCTACTTCGTCTCTACGCCGACGACCGGACTTACCTACAGCAAAGTAACGCCATCGTCCGTACAACTACTCGGCTACGTCGACGTCGACCACGCGAGAGATAGGGAGAATCGTCGCTCCATAACGGGCTACATCTACCGAGTAGAGCCTATCGGGACGATCTCCTGGCAATCGAGCAAGCAGGAACTAATCGCGCTATCCTCGGCTGAAGCGGAATACATCGCTCTCTGCTCTGCGACCAAAGAAGGACTTTACATACGGGAGCTACTGGAGGAAGCGAAAATTACGACCATGCCCACCTTCTTGTTATTTTGCGACAACCAATCCGCGATCAAAATCGCGAACAAAAACGGGTTCGCCAATCGAACCAAGCACATAGCTCTGCGGTATTTCTTCGTCAAGGATGAGATCGCGAAGGGGAGACTTCAACTCAGTTACTGCCCCACGACAGAAATGGCTGCAGATTACCTGACGAAGAAACTGGCAAAGGCAAAGTTCGATTACTGCATGCTGCTGACCCGGCAGATAAACGTCACCAAATCCGGACACGTCAGCACTCCAGAAACGAAGGGGAGTGTTGGAAATACCTCGAAGACTTAAGCGTTTCTGAAGTGTAACACTACACTCGAAGAAATGTCGTATCGAGTACACGAGTCAACAGAGGTTACAGGAGGAGGTTGGACGAAAGAACACGAAAGGACGAAGGGACTCGAAGGATCGCAACCTGAGGTTGTGACTGACCGTTACGACTGCAAGGGTGGTAACCGAACCATCGATCAAGTCGCTATGCGACTCGATAACCGTTTCTTCAACTGTATTGTACAACAGCTCTATTTCCTATTTTCTATATATTGCTGTATGCTTGTTTCTTTTAATCAATCACTTGCTCTCACATACTAGTGCAAGGGTTCAACTACTCAATACTTCCGCTGCACTACTAAAGCATCTTGTACAAGTGGGACTTAGTCTATGGAAAGATCCTAAGGGCTTTTTATCAGCCCAACAGTTGTTTTTTTTTTTTTTTTTTTTTTTTTTTTTTTTTTTTTTTTTTCCCTGCGACGTCGCAGTGTGGACTGTGTTGGCTTAGCAGGAATGGCGGGGCACTACGTCATGCCTACGAGTGCATAGTAGTGTCCAAGGGAATTTGCATCTTGGTGGGTTGGTGGGTTGTTCTGCTGGAGTGAATCCATATGTGTCGTATGGCCGTCGCTCAGCCTATCGCCTATTTGCGCCAGCTAAGTTCCCCCCTCTCAAGGGCCAAAATGGCTACCATGTTTCTTAGGTCTGGGCGCAGCGAGGGTTCGCCACTTGGCAGGTTCAAAATCATTTGAACCTTGAAGTTATTGTATACTTTTGCTTTAAATCGTAAGTATTCACATGGCCAATGTGCAATATAATATGGTGAGTGAGTGATACATTCATGATGAATTTAGCACATTTATGGTCATCCTGAACCCTCACATTTCGTCAAACGATTTCCTTCCTTACAGCTCCGCCAGAAACGGGGACACCGCCTTCGCCTGCGAGTTGTGGGCCCCATAATTGACAGGGACTGACTGACACGTGACGACGAATCTGGTCAATGGACAAATTTCGATGAGATCTCAGCCGTATCCATTTCAACTACCAAACCGATGCGATCCGCTCGGCTCACAAACAAGTCACGACATCAATCCGCGTGACAGCATTTCGGAAGCAGGGCTGTCGATCAGCCTCGGGGTACTGTAACATCTGGCCTCTCTCTAGGAATTTGGGGGCGTGTTTTTAGTTGGGATCCTCACAAGTTGGTGTCATACGAGATTGCTGGAAAACCAATCATGTGCGTTTTTGTGAAAACTTACAGCATACGATTGGTTTCCAGCTATCTGGGATGACACCAACTTTGGATGGCACCAAGTAGAAACAGCTCTGAGTCCCTGAATTCTACCAAGGCTTATAATCCATGGACGGGCAAATTTCTTACTGTATGAATATTGCTTGAAATCTGGAAGGTTTCATCTTCCAACTGACTAGCCCAGTGAGAGTGGGATCCTGAAGAAGTTGGGGGGGGGGGGGGGGGGGCGGGGGCGGGGGGGGGGCGGGGCTGTTTTGTTGGTTGGTTCGATTGAGGTCAGGGATGAGGGAGAGGGGTACGGCTTTCCTGGCACGTAGTAGGGGGATAGCTTTGGCTAATGAGTTTCACGGTAGATCTCCGGGATACTTCCGAGTTTCGGGAAGGGTCCGAAACGAATCCCTGAATGAGTCCAGGAATCGTTTAGAATGGAAAGTTCTGAATCTGAACTCTTTTGAATCCGGATCCGTACCCGGAATATTCAGAGCATTTAGTATTGGTATCGTCAGAACTGCTCGGGAGCGATTCGTCGACTGCCTGTAATTCCGTAGAATTTCCTCGTTCTCTCAATTGCAGTTTGGCCGGTTGCATTGAAATTTTTGGACCCCCCACCTCCATTTCACAAAACTCCAGCAGCAGAAGGCGAAATGCTGGACTTCCAGCTGTTCCCTTCCCCCTACAGCAGTGTACTGCAGGATTTTCGTTCGTGCCAGGTTGTTCGCGTCCAAAGGAAAGCTGCTTGGCAGGCTTCCCGCAAAAAGTCCTTGATCATCTTGTGGGCCCCCATGTCACAACCGAACTATCCACAGGTGATATGTCGTTTAGGAAATATCCACATCAGCGCTCGAAGCCACAATCCCATATGATGTAGGCAGGCAGGCTTCCTTTTCTTGCAACCCCAACAGGAGGAGGGGCACTGGCCAAATGGGTCAGAAGCAGCATTCAAAAACTCGAAAGTGTCTGCTTTGAAAAACCCTTCCCATCCCAGAACTGTAGGATGCACATCCCAACCAGGTGTAAACCATAACACTCGCCTGGCTTCAGGAATGTTGTCCTGTGTTTCGCTGCTACTGGTGCTGGAAAATACCACTGAACGAAACATCGAGACTCTACAGTTCCATATTCAGCTAGTACACCCCGTTCTGCCCGAGGTGAACCACATCAATCTGCAGGGGTTAGCTACAGAAACTGCAACATAAGTGAGGGACTTGTTGTTCGAGGAAGTGTGACTGTCCAGCCTGTTTCTTGGACTGTAGGTGGGCGGGTTCGGCTCTTGGCAAAAGGACGATTTTTTTTCAAAGCAAATCCCTTCCTCTGCTGTTGCGTGGCGTGGCGCTTTGTTCTTCATTTCCTTCGCGATCTTCCTTTCGCTAACCACAGCTGGACACGGCAGCACTTTCACAGCCGCATGCTTTGTCTGCACTTTGGACCTGGCTCGCGCGAAACCCCGTGTCGCAAGCGACTGTGCTGAAATTACGGAGCGCAATTGCTTCCAATCGCAATCAGATTCCATCGCAAAACACGACACAGCCTCAGTCGTTTCTGCTAAACTCTCAGCAAAGCGCAGCAGGGAACTTCTGGCAGAACGGTCGCAGTGGATATGATCCAAATGGATTTGAATCTTCATTTGTCACTAGCAAGAGGTGCACCCTTGCGAGTCATTTTGAGTATATCTATGATACAAGCGGGTACCTGTAAAAGTGGGTAGTTTCGGCCCGAGTCTTCAACGAACTGGAAGAACCAGTACTGACCAGTTATTAGTCGTCGTTTGCCTGGATGAGCCTTCTCTTTCTGAATGTGCCCCATTCGAGAGACCGTGCGAAGAATTAAACAGAATTGGGCGCCGGGCAATTCGTGACCCGGAAAATCAGAACAAGTCTGGAAATAGTCCAAGGTAATACACCCAAACTCGATGGCCCTCCCTCCACACTTCCACCGTCCCATCTGGTCCTCTGCTCTGCACCCCCCCACTTCCCTCGAAACCCTCGGTCGTACAATATTTGCTCGGCACTGCCAGGCTTCAACGTACATTATCCGGCTCGACTTTTCCCTTCCAGCTCCCAGCGGATTCGCGTATCCTCGGTATTCACGACACTTCTAGCACCCGCGAGTCAAGGCGTGTCTAGCGTAGTAGAAACCGTAGCAGCCGGCGTCAGGAGTAGTATGAGCAGGCCCAACTCAGCAACACAGCTTTCGACTGAAATATCGAATTCCAAAAGTCCCCGTCGTAGCGCTGTGCACGTCCACATCGAAACCGAACTGTCGAAAATCATGCTTCCGCGCGACCGACGCGGCGAAAGCGGAAATAGTTCCGGCGGCGAGCCACCGCGACGACCGGCGTCCGATCTTAGCGCCGTGCCAAACCGCCGGCGATTCGCGGAAAAGCCGTTCGGAGAGCTTCGCGTGAAACCGTCGCACTCGTCGCCACAGTCGTCGCCGGGCGACCGTCGGCGGTTCAAAGCGGCAGATCTCGACAAACAGCGCGACCGCGAAGACGACGACGAAGACGACAACGACGTCAGGTTCTCGCGAAGGCTTTCGGGCCAGTCGCGAATCTCTTCTTCATTGTAAGCCCTTCCCATAATCGTGGAACGAAAACGCGGTGTCACTTCGTTGGTGTGCTTCCGAGTCGTCGGCCGTCTTTACTAAGGAGTCTTTTCCGTCGATGCTAGTGGAAAGCCCTCCTTACTAATCGTTTTAGCGTACAACCACTATCCCTTCCGTCAGATTAAAATCCCGCAAAAAGCGGCCCTCGCCCAAAGCGCCGAACGCGGCGCCTCGAGGGTGCATCATCGACATCAACGCGAGCCCAAGGAAGGGGGGGAGCCCAACGAAGAGGCGACGCGTAGACGCGAGCGGCCGCACCGCCGCCACAGCCGCCGCTACAGCCGCGGCTACAGCCACCGCCATGGGAGTGGGGCAGACGTCCTCTCAGCTTTGCGACCTTATTCGGCGTCTGCCCTCGCCAACTCCGGAGTGGATTCGACCTGCGTTCTCCCAGGGGCCCAGCTTGAATCCCGAAACAAAGACGGAGACTCAGGAGTTGCTGCAGATGCAAGCAACTAGTAAGTTGGAGGCTCAGACCCAGACTGCTCAGGCTGTTCAGGCTCAGGCGCGGCAAATGCGGCAAATGCAAACGCAGATGCAGAATCAGAGGCAGCTCGGCCTGGCAAGTCAGGGAGATCCGGAGGAGCCCACGGCAGTCGGTGCCTACTTTTCAAGAGGCCACCCCTTGAACTACACCCCTGGTACAGCTACCGCTGCTGCTACCACTGCTCCTGCTGCTGCCGCTGCTGCTGTTGCTGGTTTTGATGCGTCAGCGATAGCTGAAGCCATCATGCGGCAGAGGGGGATGGGAATGGGTCAACCTCAGCGCTTCACTCACCCTGAATCCGAGGCTCGGACTCAGACGCCTGCGTGGCCTGGGCCCGAGGCATGGACTCAGAGGCCTGGGTCCCATGCTCGAAATCAGAGGCCTGGGTCCGACGCTCGAAATCAGAGGCATGGGTCCGAGCCTGTGAGTCAGGGCCTGTGCAAGGCAACAGCAGCAGCAACACCAGCAGCAGCAGCTGCAGCAGCAACAGGAGCAGCAGCAGGAAGCAGCAGCAGCGTGAGTGGTCACTGCACGGAATCATCATCAGATGCAGCAAGCATCGGCGTTACGACAATTAGCGATGCGCTTGGGTATCTCAAGGTCCATTGGAGCACCAGTGCGGCTACTGCAACTACTGCTGCTGCTACTACTGCTGCTACTACTATGGCCGCGGCTGCAGATCATCCCCATCCGCCTAATTTCTCTATGCCTAATGCCTTGCTCTCAACAGCGACAGCGACAGCAACAGCAAGTGTCGCCCTGCCGAATTTCTCCCTCATCCCTTCAATCATGGCCGCCACTGCCGCCGCCAAAGCCGCATCTTGCCCCGTGCTCTCCCGGGCCAACACGGCGCCGCCTCGCAGCAGCAACTTCGGCACAACTGCAGCAGCAGCAGCAGCAGCAGGAGCAGCAGCAGCAGGAGCTGCGGGGTTCCCTGCTGCCACGTCACCCACCTACTCAGCTCGCCCATTCCCCGCATCCTCCAGCACCCCTGGCGCTAGTAAGCCCGCTTCTGCAGCCGCCCTTGCACGGGCCGAGAGCGCATGGCTTCCTCCAGTCCCTGTCTCATGGCTCCCTGCGGTCCCTAGCGCCTCCACTGCTGTGGCTGGAGCAGGCACAGGCAGAGCAGGTGCGGCCGAAGCGGTGCCAGCAACAGCAGCAGGAGCAGCAGCAGGAGGAGCGGCACCGGCAGGCATGGGCAGCAGCATGTCAGTGGCATCGATGCCCGCGCTGCGCGTGTCGTCGGACAGCAGCCGCCTGGTGGTGCCCCGCAGCGCATGGGCTCAAGGCCTGGTGGTCGACCACATGCTGGGGCGGCATGTTTCTGCTGCTGCTGTACCCGCGCTTGCTGATGCGCCGTTTGCGTCCGAGTCTATTCCTGCTGCGTCTGCTGCTGCTGCTGCTGCTGCTTCTGCTGCTGTGTTTGCTGGTGATCCCGCCTTTGCCCTCCCAGCCCACCCTTCCTCTGCAGCGTCACCTCATCTTGCGACTGCTCCCTTCTCTCATCCTGCCTTCTCCGCCTCATCAGCAGCCGGTCTTCCTTTCTTCTCATCAACCCTTGCTGCCTCTGCCTCGTGCTTGCATGGAGGACTGCCCCCCCCCTCCCATGATTTGGCCCCGGATTTTCTTGCTCAGATGCCGCCTGAGCTGCTGCCACAGATGCCACCTTCCCTTCTAGCACAGATGCCTCCTGAGCTGCTCGCACATATACCACCTTCCCTCCTGCTGCAGTTGCACCTGCAGGCGTTGCGAATGGCCGAGCTCAGGTCCCCTCCTCTCCCTTTCGAGGCGCCGCAGAACAGAGCGGCTCCTCCTTTGCCTGACACAGCAGCCGCAACTCCTTCGCTTGACAGAGCAGAACCCTCTTTGCCCGTCAGAGCTGACCAATCCCCAGGGCTCAGCCCTCCGGCTGACAGCCCCCAGGCAGCAGCAAGCAGGGACTGCATGGGAGGTCTGCGGATTCCCATGGCTCAGCCCCCACGTGAGCTCAAGATTGCTGAGGTGGATGTTGCATCGCTAGGGACCAAGGCACTGGGAAGGGGCCAGGCCAAGCAGGCAAATGAGGGCCTAAGTGTTAGGGGTGACGGTGGCTATGGGAAGCAGGAAGGTGGCATGGAGAGGGGTGGAAGAGACGAGGAGGAGAAGCAGGAAGGAGTCTATATTTTTGGGCAGCTGATCTCCCCCGGGACTGAGAGACTGCAAGCAGCAGCCTTAAAGAAATGACTAGTTAGACCCTGGTTTTGCAGAAGGAGGTGGTAGTTTTCCCTGGGCTGAAAAACCCATGGTTTGGGTTTTTACCATGGTTCAGTTTTTTTTTTTACCATGGTTTTGGGTTTACCGTTTTGGCCTTGCACAGGGGGCTCTAAAGAAAATACATTAAAAATAAAAAATAAAAAATCCCTGCATACGTGTACTTGGATAAGTTAACACATGTTTAGATTGCAGTGTACGGTACCTCCATCTGTACCGCTCCGATTCGTATTTAATTTTAAATGGACAAGTTTTCAGAAATAATACCGAGGAAGACACGCCACTACACCACACCTATCAGCTCTGTATCACAGCCTCACACCACACTGAAATATGCCAACCTCATAACTATCCACATACCGCTGGTCCATACAAGCGAGCCCAAGGAGAGGAAGGAGTACATACCATTTTATACGAACCGGTAGCACCATTGACAGGCAGTAGCTCCAGCAACAGCTGCTGCTGCTGCTGCTGCTGCTGCTGCTGCTGCTGCTGTTGTTGATGGTGGTGGTGGCGGATGCTGCTACTGCTGTAGTCAAGCAGAGGAAGCTGCGGCGGCAGCAGCAGCAGCAGCAGCAGCAGCAGCAGCAGCTACGGGGTACATAGGCATCCCAGCAAGGTGCGCGACATGAGAGCGGGGTCGATGGGTTTGGTAGGCGTCCATGCCAGTGTCCAGGCACTTGTGATGGTCGCTGGTCATGGCATGCTGGTAGGCTGGACCGCCACTCAGCGACAGATGCCACGCTGGAAGGGGTAGCAGCAGCAGCAGCAGCAGCAGCAGCAGCAGCAGCTACAGGGTATTTTTGACCATTAGGCCCAGCAATGTCCGGGACATGAGAGCGGGGTCGATGGGCTAGGTGAGGTATGCGTCCATCCCTGCATCCAGGCACCTGCGGTGGTGGCTGGTAGGTTGGACGGTCACTCAGCAGCATTCACTACGGGGTACTTGGCCATGAGACCCAGAAGGGTCCGTGACATGAGGGCGGGGTCGATGGGCTTGGTGAGATACGCGTCCATCCCTGCATCCAGGCACTTGCGGTGGTCGCTGGTCATGGCGTGCGCTGTGAGCGCCACTATGGGCGTGTGGACGGGCGTGCCCTCTTCTGCTTTCCTGATAGCAGCTGTTGCCCCGTACCCGTCCAGCACCGGCATCTGGGGGAAGGGGAGAGAGGGAGGGGGGTGTAAGGGGGCGTTGAAGGGGAGGAAGGGACTATTATAGGGGAACGGTGCTCCCTCTTCTGCCTTCCTAATAGCGGCTGTTGCTCCGTACCCGTTTAATACCGGCATCTGGGGGGAGGGGAGAGAGGGAAGGGGGTGGGATGGAAGGGGGCAGGGAAGGGGGGGCATGGACTATTATCCGGGCACTTGCGGTGGTCGCTGGTCAGGGGGTGAGCTGTGAGCGCCACTATGGGCGTGTGAAAGGGCGTGCCGGTTTCTCCTGCTCTGATGGGGGCAGTGGGGACAGGCAGGAAGCGAGACCAGAGGCTTCCTGCGCCCACTGTGAACAGCGCCCACTGCGAACAGCGCCCACTCCGAACAGCGCCCACTGCGAACAGCGCCCACTGCGAACAGCGCCCACTGCGAAAAGCGCCCACTGCGAACAGCGCCCACTGCGAACAACGCCCACTGCGAACAGCGCTCACTGCGAACAGCGCCCACTGCGAACAGCGCCCACTGCGAACAGCGCCCACTGCGAACAGCGCCCACTCCGAACAGCGCCCACTGCGAACAGCGCCCACTGCGAACAGCGCCCACTGCGAACAGCGGCCACTGCGAACAGCGGCCACTGCGAGCAGCGCCCACTGCGAGCAGCGCCCATTGCGAGCAGCGCCCACTGCGAGCAGCGCCCTCTGCGAGCAGCGCCCACTGCGAGCAGCGCCCTCTGCGAGCAGCGCCCCCTGCGAGCAGCGCCCCCTGCGAGCAGCGCCCCCTGCGAGCAGCGCCCCCTGCGAGCAGCGCCCTCTGCAAGCAGCGCCCTCTGCGAGCAGCACCCTCTGCGAGCAGCACCCTCTGCGAGCAGCACCCTCTGCGAGCAGTGAGCAAGACCAGCGTCCACCGCCTGGTGCCCAGAGGCAAGACACTGCGAGCAGACAACCCAGAAGCATTGCACACGGATGCAGAGCGCAGAGGCGAACCCACCCACCTGGCAGTCCATGAGCACCGCATCGAGCCGGCCGGTACTGCTGGCATAGGTGGCCAACACAGCACCCTCTGCCTGCTGCCCTTCACACAAAGGCACAGAATCACACATGCATACTGGATGCACGCGTGCCCAGAGGCAAAGACACTCACCTGGCAGTCCATGAGCACAGCGTCGAAGCGGCCGCTATTGCTGGCATAGGAGGCCAACACAGCATCAACCGCCTGCTGCCCGTCGCACACCGCCTCCACAGTGCACCCGAGCTTCTGCATTCGAATGATGGCCACCTGGTGGGGCGAGTGCACAGGGAGGGAGGGGAGGGGAGGGGAGGGGAGGGGAGGGGAGGGGAGGGGAGGGGAGGGGGGGTGAGCCTGCTGCCCGTCGCACACTGCCTCCATCCGTGCATCCCAGCTTCTGCATTCGAATGATGGCCACCTGGTGGGGTGAGAGGGGGCATAGGGAGGGGGGAGGGGGAAAGGGAACGGGGGTGAGAGAAAGTGGGGGAATGGGAATGGGGGGAATTGGGGAGTAGCCTGCTGCCCGGCAAAGCATTGGCAAAGCATTGGCGAAGCATCGGCAAAGCATCGGCAAAGCATCGGCAAGGCATCGGCAGGAATGCCTCTCCAGCTACCTCACCTTTCTCAGCAGGGCCGTGTCCTCGGCTATCAGCACCCGCCTGCCTGCCAAAGCGTTGTCAAACGACCCCTCCGAGAACGACGCCTGGGGGGGACAGAAAAAAGAGCGGGGCACGGGGGGGGGTGCGGGTTGATGGGGGGAAGGGAAGGTGAGGGATAAGGGGGCAGTAGTGCCCGCCAGAGCATTGTCAAACGACCCCTCTGAGAATGACGCCTGGGGGGAACAGGAGATGAAGGCGAGGCGCAAGGGGGGAGGGGATTGGGGTGGGAACCGGGATAGGGGGGCAGTGGTGGCTGAGAGGTGGGGGAGGGGTAGGGAGAAAGTGCGGAAGCGGACGGGGAAAGCAATAACAGAATGGATGCTGGAGTGATGAGGAGGGGAGATGGCAATGATGGTGGTTGGGGAGGGGGCAGGGGTGGGCAGTTGGGGAGGGTGAGGGGGGGCAGGGGAGAGAATGCACTGGCTGAAAGGATGGGGGACGTTACAGGGTAGGGTGAGCCTCCGATCCGATCAACTCACCCCTTTCTTCAGCCCACTGTTCACCGGCCTCATGCTCCCGACCGAGACCCGGGCGGAGATCCCAGACCCCCCATCCCCCCACTCCAGACCTACGTTGGTTCCTTACGTTTACGCGGACGGTTTTTTACGTACGTCTATGCGTACGTTTACGTGCCTCTGGTTTTAGGCCTCCATGTACGGGCAGTCTGAACCTTTTTGGCTGCCCTGAGAAGTTTTCTCGGGGAGGATACAAATCCTGCTTTTGTAAAAACTTGTTTACATTCAAATGTTGTAGTAGAAAGCCAAATCCGCGTGATAGGAGTCTAGTTCTGAGGTGCCTCAAATATTGTAGTAGAAAGCCAAATTGCCGACGGCTGCAGGCGCGACGAAAGTCAGAGGGAGGTGCGCAAAAATTAGCATGCGCGAAACCTCTATTTTTGAGTCGACTCAAAACGCGAAACCTCGTTGCTGGTGCACTTTTGAGTCGACACAAAAGTCACCTCGTTGCTGGTGCACGTCAAATTCGACGCGCCGGCAGACCAACCAGTCAACGAAATGTTCAGTTCGCGAAAAAACCCTGCCTAACCCCAACCTAACCCCCCTCGACGAATGTTTTCCCCTCCTCCATGCATGTAAGTCGCTAACCTACCGACCTACTAACTCTAGGCTACACTAGTATCTTAGGACTAGGATCCCTCACATACTACCAGCGCGGCAAATAGTCTTAGGACGTAGATTGACGAGGGGAATCTTTGCGGATGGTCGGCATTAATGGTAGTTTAGCACAGATCTGTCGCGTAGCAATTCTCGCGTTTTCCCGGGAAAAAAAATTAGGCCAGCCCCATGGACGTACGCATAAAGTAAGGTACGCGTAACGTTACGTTACGTGTAGGTGTATGTGGGCTGGATGGGCGTAAAGTACGAACTTAGCTCCAGACCCCCATCCCCCAACTCCAGAACCCCCATCCCCCAACTCCAGAACCCCCCACACATCCCCCACACACCAGACCCCCCCACATCCCCCCCACACCAGACCTCCCATCCAGACCCCCCCACATCCCCCCCCCATCCAGAACCCCCCACATCCCCCCCACACTAGACCCCCCATCCAGACCCCCCCACATCCCCCCCAGACTGGACCTTCCGTCCCTCCCCCACCAGACCCCCCATCCCCCGCTCACCCCTTTCTTGAGCCCACTGTTGACCGGCCTCATCCTCCCCGATCGAGACCCCGGAGACGACCCCAAGGCTCCGGCACCAGGAGACCCACTCCCACCACCAGCAGCACCACTAGCACTTCCAATACCTCCAGCAGCAGCAGCAGCAGCAGCAGCAGTGGGCGCAAGAGCAGGGGCAGGGCCGTTCCCTTCTGCACTCGCACCCGAGGGAATGGGGGGGCGGCCAGAGGGCAGCCCGTGGGGAGAAGCAGCAGCACCAGCACCAGCAGCGGCGGCGGCGGCGGCGGCGGCATGAGGGGAGGGGAGGGAGGGTCCGCGGCCAGACGGGGGGGGGTACCCCGAAACAGACACCCCCCCACCACCACCAGCACCAGCACCAGCAGCACCGGCAGCGGTGGGAGTGGTGGCATTGGCGCGAGTGCAGGGGGAGAAGGGGACGGAGATGGCAGCGGTGGCGCCCATGGCGGTTGTTGTGGCTGCGGGCGAGTCTGAGGACTCCTCCTCCTCCACTGGCGTTGGTAGACCCCACGCCTGGTGGATTGGGGGGGAAGGGGGAGAGACAACACGGAGAGTGAGAGAGTGAGTCCCACCCACCAGCAGCATCAGCACCCGCACCAGCACCAGCACCAGCACCAGCACCAGCACCAGCACCAGCACCAGCACCAGCGGCGGTGGTTGTGGTGGCATTGGAGCGAGTGCAGGGGGAGAAGGGGACTGAGATGGCAGCAGTGGCGAGTGAGAGAGTGAGTGGCAGCACCACCAGCAGCAGCAGCAGCAGCAGCAGCAGCAGCAGCAGCAGCAGCAGCAGCAGCAGCAGCAGCAGCAGCAGCAGCAGCAGCAGCAGCAGCAGCAGCAGCAGCAGCAGCAGCAGCAGCAGCAGCAGCAGCAGCAGCAGCAGCAGCAGCAGCAGCAGCAGCAGCAGAGCAGCAGCGCAGCAGCAGCAGCAGCAGCAGCAGCGCAGCAGCAGCAGCAGCAGCAGCAGCAGCAGCAGCAGCAGCAGCAGCAGCAGCAGCAGCAGCAGCAGCAGCAGCAGCAGCCAGCAGCAGCAGCAGCAGCAGCAGAGCAGCAGCGCAGCAGCAGCAGCAGCAGCGCAGCAGCAGCAGCAGCGCAGCAGCAAGCAGCAGCAGCAGCAGCAGCAGCAGCAGCAGCAGCAGCAGCAGCAGCAGCAGCAGCAGCACAGCAGCAGCAGCAGCAGCAGCAGCAGCAGCAGCAGCAGCAGCAGCAGCAGCAGCAGCAGCAGCAGCAGCAGCAGCAGCAGCAGCAGCAGCAGCAGCAGCCAGCAGCAGCAGCGCAGCAGCAGCAGCAGCAGCAGCAGCAGCAGCAGCAGCAGCAGCAGCAGCAGCAGCAGCAGCAGCAGCAGCAGCAGCAGCAGCAGCAGCAGCAGCAGCAGCAGCAGCAGCAGCAGCAGCAGCAGCAGCAGCAGCAGCAGCAGCAGCAGCAGCAGCAGCAGCAGCAGCAGCAGCAGCAGCAGCAGCAGCAGCAGCAGCAGCAGCAGCAGCAGCAGCAGCAGCAGCAGCAGCAGCCAGCAGCAGCAGCAGCAGCAGCAGCAGCAGCAGCAGCAGCAGCAGCAGCAGCAGCAGCAGCAGCAGCAGCAGCAGCAGCAGCAGCAGCAGCAGCAGCAGCAGCAGCAGCAGCAGCAGCAGCAGCAGCAAGCAGCAGCAGCAGCAGCAGCAGCAGCAGCAGCAGCAGCAGCAGCAGCAGCAGCAGCAGCAGCAGCAGCAGCAGCAGCAGCAGCAGCAGCAGCAGCAGCAGCAGCAGCAGCAGCAGCAGCAGCAGCAGCAGCAGCAGCAGCAGCAGCAGCAGCAGCAGCAGCAGCAGCAGCAGCAGCAGCAGCAGCAGCAGCAGCAGCAGCAGCAGCAGCAGCAGCAGCAGCAGCAGCAGCAGCAGCAGCAGCAGCAGCAGCAGCAGCAGCAGCAGCAGCAGCAGCAGCAGCAGCAGCAGCAGCAGCAGCAGCAGCAGCAGCAGCAGCAGCAGCAGCAGCAGCAGCAGCAGCAGCAGCAGCAGCAGCAGCAGCAGCAGCAGCAGCAGCAGCAGGTGATTCTGCTGACGACTCCTCTAGTAACGTTGGCACGCCCCACACGAAGTGGGTTGGATAATGGGAGGGCAGACATGGAGGAGAGTGGGAGACAGTGGTAGCAGCAGCAGCAGAATAGCAATAACCCTGTCCAGAAACCATTGCGACCCTGTTCGTTTGGATTTGAGGCACCTCAAAACTGGGGAGTGGTAGCAGCAGTAGCAGAAGAGCAATAGCAATAACCCAGTCCAGAAACCACTGTAGCCGTAGTTTCCTTTCTCCATGGTGCCACTGCAACCCCCCCCCCCCCACTTCCCTTCCTAGCCGCATACCTCGTCCGTTTGTACCTAACACTAGACAGTGCCCAGCCCTTCAGCATGGCGATCCCCCCAATCCTCCTGACAGCCGCATACTGTGGAAGTCTTTACTTGACAACAGAAAAAATCCAATAACCACTGTACCTGGTCGTTCGCCTCTCCCTGGTGCCACTGCGATCCCCCAACACCCCCTCCCTCCTCCGCTTCTCCACCTCCTCTTCCTCCGCCCCCTCTCCCCCCCGGCGCGCGCGGCATGTCGATCTGCGAGCTCGTATGGGGCACGCTGTTTCTGGCGGTGGCAAGGGCCAACAGGGGGGCCATGCGCGAGGCGTACAGGGGCTTGGACGCCACAGCACACCCCGACCTGCATAAGAAGGGAGTCGGGGGAAAAGGGGAAGCCAAATGGGAGGCAGAGGAGGGGAGGGCGCGAGGCAAGTCTGGAAGCTCAAGTGCGGCACGCTGTTGACTTTTGAGTCGACTCAAAAGTCACCTCAAGTGCAGCACGCTGTTGACTTTTGAGTTGACTCAAAAGTCACCTCAAGTGCGGCACGCTGTTTCTGGCAGTTGCAAGGGCCAGCAGCAGGGCCACACGAGAGGTGTAGAGAGGCTTGGACGACATGGCACACCCCGACCTGCATAAGAAGGGAGTCGGGGGAAAAGGGGAAGCCAAATGGGAGGCAGAGGAGGGGAGGGCGCGAGGCAAGTCTGGAAGCTCAAGTGCGGCACGCTGTTGACTTTTGAGTCGACTCAAAAGTCACCTCAAGTGCGGCACGCTGTTGACTTTTGAGTTGACTCAAAAGTCACCTCAAGTGCGGCTTGCTGTTGACTTTTGAGTCGACTCAAAAGTCACCTCAAGTGCAGCACGCTGTTTCTGGCAGTTGCAAGGGCCAGCAGCAGGGCCACACGAGAGGTGTAGAGAGGCTTGGACGACATGGCACACCCCGACCTGCATAAGAAGGGGAGCGGGTGGGGGAGGGCACGAGCTTGACTGCGGCACGCTTTTCCTGGCAGTGGCAAGCAAGGGCCAGCAGAGGAGCCATGCGCGAGCGAGGCATAGCATAGAGGGGCTTGGACGCCATGGCACACCCGGACCTGCAAGCATTGGTTGGTGGAGAGGGGAAGGGGGGGAGGGAGGAACGGGGAGGCGATGAGGCATATCGATGTGCCTAGGAACGGGGAGGCGATGAGGTCCTCAGTCAAGCTCGCATGTCGATGTGCGAGCTTGACTGCGGCACGCTGTTGTTCCTGGCAGTGGCATGTCGATCTGGCGAGGGCCAGAAAAGGAGCCATGCACGAACGAGGCATAGAGGGCTTGGACGCTGCCTGCCACGGCACGGCACATCACGGCACGGCACATCACGGCACGGCACATCACGGGATGCGCCTTTGTGTGTGTGCCCGTCACAAGGGCATGTATGCTGCAGTGGCAAGCAAAAGCCTTCCCAGTGCGCTTCTGGCATCTTGTGAGTCGACTCAAACGTCACCTTGTGTGCCCAGGGCAGGCATGCATGCAGTGACAAGCACATACCTTAGCAGTGCGCTTCTGGTGTCTGCCCAGGAATTATGGTATTATGCTCCGAGCCAGGCTGCAGCAGCACCAGAGCATAATACCATAATTCCTGCCAAGCACCATCCAAGCGATCACAAAGCCCTGGTGCTGCTGCAGCCTGGCTCGAAAGATATGCAGCTCCTACGCTATGAACTGGTGCACGCACAGCATCAGCCGTCTGAGGCCTACCTTCTGAGGCCTACCTTCCGAGGCCTACCATCTCAGGCGTACCTTCTAAGCGTCAGCCAAGGCCCAAGGGATGCGTGGCTTCTAGGCGCGTACCTCCTGAGGGCCGGCCTGGTGTCAGCCAAGGTGTTGTGCTTTGTGCGAAACTGAAGTGATGATTGTATTAGGAAAGGAGCTGGTATACATAGGTGAGGAGCAGGAGGGGGATTTGGTTGGGAGGTGACCACGATTATTGGTGACCCCAATAAGTTGAGTTGGCCAACTTATTGGGGGTCCAGTAATCCTAGTCAAGATTATTGGTGGGGATTATTGGGGGTTCCAATAATTGGGAGCCCAACCAATTTGGAAACTCAACAAGGTTGGGAAACCAACCCCCAACTTGGGTGTATACACCCTGGTGGGTGCTTATAAGTACCTAAGACAATGAAACGATGTAGGCTAATAGAATGAAGGGAGAATATTCTAACACAACCCCTTAGCCTACACAGTGCCAGAAGTCTTAGGTAAGTGAGGAGAAGCAAGCAACCCCTGAATCAGGTATTCCCCTGGTGGGAGGGGCAAGACCCAGAAGGCGAAGGAGGGCCGCATGGGGACGGCGAGGGAGGGCCTTGGTGAAGATATCCAAAAAGTTGGCTGAAGAGTCAATCTTGCAGACGGTGAGGTGTCCAGCCTGGACGAGCTCACAAACGAAGTAGTGGCGGAGCTTGATATGTTTGGAGCGACCATGAAAAACGGCTTCCTTCGTGAGGTGGATAGTACTGGCATTGTCGCACTAGATGGTGGGACAAGGCTGGGGAGCATCCAGCTCAGCGAGGAGGAAGCTGAGCCACCGCGCTTCCTGGGCCGCCATGGTGACGACGTAGAGCTCTGGTTCGCAGGAGGAGAGAGCGATGGAGGAGGAGCGGGTGGAGCGCCAGGAAATGAGGCCGCTCCCGAGGGAGATACCATACCCCTGTAGGCTGCGACGATCGGGCTGAGAATCCGCCCATTAGGAGTCGCTGCAGCCAGTGAGTTGAGGAGGGGTGGGGCCACCCAAGGTAAGGACATAGTCCTTGGTGCCTTTGATGTAGCGGAGAACGCGCTTGGCCGCTTGCCAGTGCTCGGGAGTGTGTTTGCCAGCGCCGACAAAGCACGCCAGAACAATGATAAGGTAGGCGAGGTCGGGGTGGGTGCACATCATGGCGTACATCAGGGACCCGACCAGCTCGGCGTAAGGACTGGTGGAGGAACCGTGGGTGGATGTTGGCGAGAGTTGGTGGCCGACTTGGAGGGGTGTGGAAACGGGTTTGGCCTTGGCCATCTCGAAGCGTTCAAGAACCTTGTAAAGAAGGCGCTTATACAGTCCCGAGGAGCTTGCTTGAGGCTGTAGACCGGGCGGCAAAATTCCCAAACGGTGATCGGAGGGAAGGGGAGGTGCCAGCCCTCGGGGCGCTCCATGAAGATGCGCTCATGGAGTTCGCCTTGGAGCAATGCCGTGGTGACATCCATCGGCTGCAGGATCATGCCACGCCGGCCGACGAAGTCCAAGAACACGCGGACGACAGGGGGAGTGGCGGTCGGCGAGTAGGTGTTAAGAAAGTCATGGCCGTACCGCTGCGTGAATCCTTAGGCGTAGTAGCGGGCCTTATAGACCCGATCCTCGCCAGGGAGGAGTTTGACCCGAAATACCCATTTGCCCTTGACCATGTTGTGCTTGAGTGGGCGGGATACATCGATGAAGGTGCCATTGCGGACTAAGGCCTCATTCCCTTTGAGGACGGCCTTGCCCCAGTGAGGGTGGTCGGGGCATGTCATAGCTTCGTGATAATCTCCCGGCTCGAAGATGATGGGCGCACCGGAGAAGACAAGAACCGGGGCGCCAGTCATGCTGAAGGCGACTGTTTGGGTGTTGGAGAAGAGGTGGAGGCGAAGAGACTCACCATGAAAGTCTTCGATGAGGGGAGGAGAGAAAGGAGGAGGAAGGGAGGGTGGTGTTGCAAGTCTGCTGCGCTGCTGAGGGGGGAGGCTGCGACACTGCGATTCTGCGACTCGGCTGCACGGCTGCTTAACTGGGACAACTGCTGCGACGGATCCTGACGCTGCGGGTGCGGCGACCGGGGCAAGCACTGGTGCAGCGGCGAGAGCTGCTGCGGCGGGTGCGGATGTGGAAGCAAAGGGTGCTGGAGCGGTTGCCTTTGCCTGAGGGGAGGGAGGGGCTAAGGGCGGACCAAAGAGGGGATCCATGGGCCGAGTATGAGGGCGGTGGCGTAGGATCAGGGGAGGAGACACCTGGGGGGGCAAAGGAGGAGGTGGGGGAGGTGGGGGAGGTGGGGGAGGAGGAGGGGGGGGAGGGGGGAAAGTAGGTGGAGGGGAGGGAGGTGGGGAGAAGGGGGAGACGGAGCAGAAGCAGAGTGAGAGGGAGAGGGAGGGAGTATTGGATCAAGGATGTCACCTGAGGAAGATGAGGAGGGAACGGATTCGGGAGGAGGAGGTGCTGGGGGTAGGGGAATAAGAGGGAGAGGGGGGAGGAGTGGGGGGGTGATAGTGTCAGAGAGGATGAGGGGTCGAGGAGGAATGGTGAGTGGGTCATGTGAGGTAGGGGAGGTGTAGTACGGGGAGGATTCGTCAAAGATGACGTCCCGACTACGAATGAGGCGACTTGAGGAGGGGTGGAGGAACAGGTAGTCAGGGGAGGAGGTATTGTGACCAAGGAATACACAGGGTAGACTCTTGGAGGCGAGCTTCCCTGCTGTGCGTGAGCGGTCGGCCGGGTGTATGAGAATATACGCCCTGGAACCCTAGACGCGCAGGGGGGAGACGTCGGGTTTAGTTGACGTCCACAGCTCGGTGGGGGTGGTGGAGGGGAGGAGAGGGTGGGGATACATGTTAGTGAGAAGGACGGCGTGGATAAGAGCATAACCCTAGAGAGATGGCAGGCAGGAGGCGTGAACGAGAAGACACCTGGCGGTCTTTGTAACTTCTCGAACACGAGCCTCTGCCACGCCATTCTGCTGAGGGGAGTGAGGGAGGGTGTAAGTGTGGTGAATGCCATGGGTGGAGAAATAGGAAGAGAGATGGTGATTGAGGAATTCACCGCCGCCATCGGAATGTAAGCGATGAACGGGGCGACCGAAGTGGGAGCGCGCCTGCTCGGGCCAGGCAATGATGAAGGCCGGTGCCTCGGCCTTCGTGCGAAGGAGGGAGACCGAGGTGTATCGTGAGCGGTCATTGACCAGGACGAGGAGGTAGCGGTGCTCTTGGCGAGTGGGGGAAGGGTTAGGGCCCCAAAGGTCCATGTGGACAATATCCAGGAGCTCTGGGGCGCAAGAAGGGTGACTTTTGTGAGGAAGCTGCTTGAGCTTGCTCTGGACACAGATGGTGCAGGGGGGGGGGGGGGAGGGAGGGAGTGGGGGGAGAGTGAGGGGAAGGCCATTGAGGAGCCCGGAGGCGATGGCCTTGTGGAGGGTGGCAAAGTTGGGGTGACCTAGGCGGTGGAGGAGGAGGATGGCAGGATGTGTAAGATCACGACAATGGCACTAAGATGGGGGGGGAGCAGGAGAGTCGGGAGGGGAGGTGGGGGGAGGTTGCGGAGGAAAGAGGGGAGGGGGGAGGGGAGGGATGATGGAGGCATTGTGACAGGTTGACGGACGAGGAGTGTGATGGGTGTACATGCGAGTGCGAGGACACATGGGAACACGGACGATGAAATGGCCCGTGGATGAGTGAAACAGGTCACAGTGGGTGGCGTGGCTGGGGTAGATTGTTGTGACCCCGTCTCGTTGAAGTGCACCTTGGGAGATGAGGTTAGTGCGAAGGGAGGGGACATGGAAGCCGGTGACTGAACCTGAGGGAAGAGGGGGCAGGGAAGCGAGGAGGTACTGCGGGAGGTGGCCGAGAAAGTATAATCGGCTCCAATGATGGTGGAGGGGTTAGGGAGGGGGGTGAGGGCACCAACGTCACGAAGGACTATGACACTGGCGCCGCTGTCAATGACAAACTCAATGGAAGGAGGGGTGGGGTGAGACACGGAGTACTGGAAGGAAGTCTCATTAATAGATTCGGGATACATTGGAGGAATAGCAGGAGAAGCATTGCTAACATGGTTGATGAAGCCAGGAGAAGGGAATGGGGTAAAGCCAGGAGGTCCGGAGGGGGCCTGCGCAGGAGTAGCAGGAGCGGAGAGGCCGGAGCTCCAGGCGGAGGGAGGGGAGGGCTGCTGCTGAGACTGCTGGGGCTGCTGAGACTGTTGTAGCTGCTGCGGCTGCTGGGTCTGCTGCGGCTGCTGGGTCTGCTGCGGCTGCTGAGTCTGGTGCGACTGGGGGGACGAAAGGAGGGGCGTGACCTGCTGGAGGATTTGGGGAGGGAGGTGCTATGCGAGGATGTGGTGGAGAGAGGTAGAGGAGGGCTGATAGGTGGGGAGGGTACGAACATCAAAGGGAGTGGGAGGTGGAGTGATAGCGGACCAGCGAGGGGGGGTGCCCGTGTTGCCTCGATCAAGCCACTCATCAGTGAGGGCCTTGAAGCATGTGGTGGTGGCGTGGGTGGTTTGGAGACCGGTTACCCTTGTTGGGGCCGTTGCGGATGAGATACTGACACGGGGAGAAGCCGCCGGTGATGCTGGAACTAGGCTTGAGCATGAACCCGACCCGACCCGACCCGACCCGACTTTGCCCTACCCGATGTCGGGTTCGGGTCGGGTCGGGTCGGGTCAAGTCGGGTCAGAGTTTAGGAAATGTCAACCCGACCCTGGTTAAATAAGTCGGGTACTACCTAACCCGATTTCGGGTCGGGTCGGGTCGGGTTGGCATAGGGGCAAGGACGGGTAATAAGCCGGCCCGGGGGTCGGGTTTTGTAGGTCGGGTCGGGTCGGGTCCGGTCGGGTCAACCCTTCGCAAATGTCGAGCCGACCCGTAAAAAAGTCGGGTTCGGGTCGGGTTACCCGACCCGACCCAACCCGACCCATTGCTCAAGCCTAGCTGGAACCACTGCTGCCCCCGCGTCCTCCACTGCAACCCCCACCACGTCCACCACCCGATCTTCCGGCCGAAGTACCGCCACGGCCAGCACCACGTCCTCCTTTTGCTTGGGCATTATGGGCCGTTGGCGGAGACTGGCGGAGAATCCATGCGGCTACATAGGCGGAGTCGGGTGGGAAGCTGGCGTGGACTTCATTGAACGCCACGCGACGGGCCTCGTACATGGGTGTGAGGCCGTTGAGGAGGCGGCGGACGATGAGGGAGTTCGGGAAGGGGAGAGCGACGATCGGCAAGGCGTTTGGCAGTGGTGAGGAGGCGGCGCGTGAAGGAGAGGACAATGGGGCAAGAGTCGAGGTTGATGTCGAGGAAGGCACGGTGGAGCGCAAGGAGAGAGTTGGTGTCCCGGAGGTCATAGGTGGAACATAACTCTTCCCAAAACTCGGGAGCGGAGGAGGGGGTAATTTCGCGTTTGAGGGAGGAAGGAACGCATGCAGGCAGGATAGCGAGACATTTGCGGTTGGCAACGTTCCTGGCAAAGTGGCGACGACAGTACTCAACGAAAGTCGTCAGCATACTTAGCCGTGTCGTCCTTGTGCTGCTTGAGAAGTGCGTTGGCAGCGTCGTGCGCAGCTTGCTCTGCGTCATACGAGTGCTGGAGGAGAGTGTGCTCCGTAAAGTCCTTGTCATACTGGTGCTGCACGCGGGCCCAGCGATCAGGGTCGTCGGTGTAGACCAGTGGGGAGGGCTTGGTGGGGGCCGGTCTCGAGGGGGCCGGAGGTGGGGCGGGAGGTGCAGGGGAGATGTCAGCAGGACGCTCCGGGGGACGCTCCGGGGGCTGCCCTGCGTCGGTGCCGAGGAGAATGTCGAGTAGGCAGTAGTTTTTTATGATCGCGGATCCGAGGACATTGGTGAGACTCTGGACAAAGGTAGCCCAATTGACAGGGACGGCGTCGTCGATGGTGGAGATGTCGACGGCGAGTGCTTCGGTGGTCATGGTGCGATTGCGGGTGCTACTGCTGCTGGGGATGAGAGGAGAAGGGAGAAGGAGGGAGGGGAGGGGGGAGAGATACGGTTGCTGCTGCTGATGGTGCGGCTGCTGCAGATGGGGCGGCTGCTGTTGCTGGTGGGGAAGGAAGGGAGGAGGAGGGTGGACGGGGGAGGGAGGGGGGAGGGAAGGGGGGGGGGGGGAGGGGAGAGGAGGAAGGGAGGGAGGAAGGGGGAGGAGGGAAAACGGCGGGTGCGCGGAGCGCAGCTCTTAAGTCGCCGTAGGCAACGGCCGGATGGCGACGATCGGTCGCTGTGGGCAGCTGCGTGCGGTGCACGCCGGCACAGAGGTCAGCATGGCCAAATCCCGCTTGTTGGGCGGGGGCGCCGAGGCTGCACAGAGGGGGAGGAGGCGACGGAGTGCGGCGTGGAAGGCGTGTCGAAATGTGGCGTGAGGGTCGTCTCGAGATGCGGCGGGAGGGCCGCGTCGAATTGCGGCCAAGCACCGCGTCGAAATGCGGCCGAGCGCCACGTCGAATTGCGGCCCAGCGTCGCGTCGAAATGCGGCCGAGCGCCGCGTCGAAATGCGGCCGGGCGCTCGTCGAAATGCGGTCGGGCGCCGCATCGAAATGTAGCCGAGCGCCACGTCGAAATGCGGCAGGAGTGCCACGCGAAAACGCAGTGACTAAGGGCGCGAGGAGGAGCGCATAAGGGCGCGGGGAGGGGCGCTTATAGGCGCGGGGAGGGGCGCTTAAAGGCGCGGAGAGGGGCGCTTAAGGGCGTGGAGAGGGGCGCTTAAAGGCGCGGAGAGGGGTGCTTAAGGGCGCGGGGAGGGGCGCGTAAAGGAGCGAGGAGGGGCGCTTGAGGGAACGGGGAGGGGCGCGATGGGCGCGAGATGGCTAGGGATCGAACGACGGAGAGGCGTAAGCCATAAGCTCTGAAAACATGTGAGAAACTGAAGTGATGATTGTATTAGGAAAGGAGCTGGTATACATAGGTGAGGAGCAGGAGGGGGGTTTGGTTGGGAGGTGACCACGATTATTGGTGACCCCAAGAAGTTGAGTTGGCCAACTTATTGGGGGTCCAATAACCCTAATCAAGATTATTGGTGGGTCCAATAATCTTGGTTGGGATTATTGGGGGTTCCAAAAATTGGGAGCTCAACCAATTTGGGAAACCAACACGGTTGGGAACCCAACCCCCAACTTAGGTGTATACACCCTAGTGGGGTGCTTGTAAGTACCTAAGACAATGAAACGATGTAGGCTAATAGAATGAAGGGTGAATATTCTAACATGCTCCACCAGCCAGGCAATGACAAACCCTTGGTGCCGCAGGTGCGCTAAGAAGATGTGGAGCTCCTCTGCTATGAACTGGTGCACGCTCGCCACGATCGACACGTCTATGATCACCAAGGGCATGCGTTGACAAGCACATACCTTCTCAGAGCCCGTCTGGTGTCAGCAGAAGTGTTGTGCTCCACCAGCCAAGCGATCACAAACCCCTGGTGCTGCAGCCTGGCTCGGAAGATGTGGAGCTCCTCCGCTATGAACTGGTGCACGCTCGCCACGATCGACACGTCGATGATCGCCAGCATCAGCTTCGATGCCGGCTGCCCCGCCACTGATGACGATGATGCTGATGCGAGAGCTGACGGAGGGGATGCGGGGACGAGTCTTGAGGGCGACGCAGGGACGACCCTCGACGGGGACGCAGCAGAGAGAAACGTCCCACGGGCAGCAGCAACAGGAGCAGGAGCGGGAGCAATGGCACTGGCAGCACCAGCAGCATCGGACTCAACAGCAGCAACAGCAGCGGCAGCAGCAGCAACAGCAGCGATGGAGCCGTCCCTGTCCGAGCCCACCCCAATGACCGCGCCCCCCGACCCGCCTTTCCCTCCGATCAACCCCCCTCCGAACGACCTGGAACCGATGCTACCATGGCCCAGCGCACCACCTATGCTTGGCTCCCTACCCACCGTACCATCGAAGGACAGTGACGCGAGGCTGCTGGGAGCCACACCCCCACCACCACCAGCAGCAGCAGCAGCAGCAGCAGCAGAAGCAGCAGCAGCAGGATGAAGTGGGGTGCTGGCGCCGCTGCCGGGAAAGGAAGGCTCGTGGCTGCTGTTGGAATGCTTGTCCAGGGATCTCCTGGATTTGGTGCTGAGAGCTCGACCCAGCAGCCGACTGCTGCTGCTACCTAGACTCTTCACCATCCCCGCTGCTCTCCCTCCCCCACCTCCCCCTCCTCCCCCTCCTCCCCTGCCTCCCTCCCCACCTTCTCCCCCTCCCTCTTCCCAAACTTCTCCCTCGTTTTCCCCACCTGTGCCTGCCCCCCCGAAGCACCTCCCAGGACTGCTGAGAATGCGGCCGTTGGCAAGAGAATGGGATGGTGAAGGGAGACGGCTCAACACACCTCGCTGCATTGGCCCCTGCCCCTGCCCCTGCCCCTGCATCTGTTCTTGTCCGCCTGCCTCAGATACCACCTGCCCCAGCTGCCCCTGCACAGGCCCTGAAAAAGAGATCTGATCCGGGGTGCTTGGTCTGGGGGAGGCTCCACCTGGCCCCCCTCCCATGCCTGGCGGTGCTGGCACTGCTGCTACAGCCGCCGCTACAGCCGCTGCAACAGCTGCTCCAGATGGTGGTAACGGTGGTGCAGGGGAGTCGTGGGAGCGGGGGGAGGGGCTCCGCCAGCCAACAGCAGACCTGGCCTTATCCACCATCGGGCTGAACCCACCAGCTCCACCACCACCACCACCACCACTGCCGCTTGCCCCAGCACCGAAACTACCACCTCCTCCCCCTCCTCCCCCCACCCCTCCAACCCCACCACCGGCATTCCCCCCTCTCTCCCCCCTGTCCCCTCCTCTCTCCCCCTTTTCCCCCTTGTCTCCCCCTCCGCCCCCCCTCAGGGCAGTGAAGCTGCGCATGAGGGGAGCAGAGAAGCCCACCAGGGAGCGCGACGCGCGGGGGGGCTGGGAGGCCGCGGCCTTCTGGACCAGTATGGAGGCGACAGCTGGCATGATCTCCTGCCACGTGTGCGCACGCCAGACCTTTAATTTCCGGCGCTCCATCCAGGCGGTTGCTATGGCCGCCCCTGCGCTATCCTCCTTCATTGCCAGGAGCACCTGGCACGGGAGAGGGAGAGGGAGAGGGAGAGGGAGAGGGAGAGGGAGAGGGAGAGGGAGAGGGAGAGGGAGAGGGAGTGGGAGAGGGAGAGGGAGAGGGAAAGGGAGAGGGAGAGGGAGAGGGAGTGGGAGAGGGAGAGGGAGAGGGAGAGGGAGAGGGAGAGGGAGAGGGAGAGGGAGAGGGAGAGGGAGTGGGAGAGGGAGAGGGAGAGGGAAAGGGAGAGGGAGAGGGAGAGGGAGTGGGAGAGGGAGAGGGAGAGGGAGAGGGAGAGGGAGAGGGAGAGGGAGAGGGAGAGGGAGAGGGATGCACGGAGATGGAGTGAGGGAAAGGGAGCCCATCCAGGCGGTCGCTTGCTATGGCCGCCCCTGCGCTGGCTTCTTTCATTGCCAGGAGGAAGAAGCACCGGAGTGGGGAGCAATAAGGAGCGCAGGGAAGTGCGGCTGACCAACACCACCTGCCCTCCTCATCACCTGCCCTAGACACCTGCTCTCTCACCTGCCCTCCTCCTCTCTCACCTGCCCTCCCCTCCCTCTCACCTGCCGTCCCCCTCCCCCTCACGTGCCCCACCCCTCACCTAACCCGCCCTCCACAATAGTCAGCTCCCGCAGCGGCAGCTTAGGTTGCAGCACGCTGCTGTGCCCTAGTTACGACCTCCCTTGGTTCCAACCTCCCTCCCCTTTCCTCCTCCCCATCTGCCCTTAATCCCCACCCCCTCCCCTCATCCATCAACTCACACACTCTCACTTGCCCCCCCCTCCTCTCACCTGCCCGCCCCTCCTCTCACCTGCCCTCCCTCCATGGCTGTCAGCGTCGGCAGCAGCAGCTTTGGCTGCAGCATGCTGCACACATCTCCACCCGCCACCATTCAAAACCCACACATTCTCCTGCTACCTTCCCCAGTTTCCACCCCTTCCCACCCCTTTCCACCCCTTCCCACCCCTTTCCACCCCTTCCCACCCCTTTCCACCCCATCCAATCCCCTCTCACCTGCCCGCCCACCACGGCAGTCAGCTTCGGCAGCAGCAGCTCCGGCTGCAGCATGCTGTTGTGCCACCCTCCACCACCCTCCACCGCTTCGAACCGCATGTCGAACCGGAACCGAGCCCCCGTTCCGTCCTTATCCACCACTGCTATGGACCCTCCCATCAGATTCACCTGTTGCACATGGGGTTACGCATGGGCTTACTGATGGTGTTACACATGGGGTTACCAATGGTGTTACACATGGGGTTACTAATGGTGTTACACATGGGGTTACCAATGGTGTTACACATGGGGTTACTAATGGTGATACACATGGGGTTACTAATGGTGTTACACATGGGGTTACTAATGGTGTTACACATGGGGTTACTAATGGTGTTACACATGGGGTTACTAATGGTGTTACACATGGGGTTACTAATTGTGTTACACATGGGGTTACTAATGGTGTTACACATGGGTTAACATGAACGTAGCGAGCATGGTGGCTACACATAGTGTTACAAAAGATTGTCTAGAAAAGAGTACTCTCTTATCCACCCACCGCTATGGGGCCTCCTACCCAATTGACATCGTGTGGGGGTGTGCGGGGCGGGAAGGTGTTGACAGTGCAGCGCAAGCTAAAGAACTCGGTACCGTGCACTCTGTTACTTCACATGGTGACATGCACAGTGTTACAACTGGTAACATCAGGCAGCTTACCAGGGAGCGGACAATTCCGAGGCCAAGACCTGCCACAATACAGAGGCGCGTGTGGAGGGGTGGGGAGATGGAACGTGAGGGTTGAAAGAGCCTAAGGGTCGAGACAGACAGTGCTGCAGTCAGAGGTGGAGCGGGCGGCATTGTCCTAGCTGCCTTTCTGTCAAGTTCAAAGGAGCTGGACAGACAGACACAGTGCTTTTCAGTCGACTCAAAACTGTGTGTAATGAGTCCGCTTTTGAGTTGACGCAAAAACCGCTTTCGAGTCGACTAAAAAAACCGCTTTCGAGTCGAATTAAAAACCGGTTATGAGTCGACTAAAAGACCTACCCTACCCGCCTTTCTATCAAGCATAAAGGAGCTGGACAGACAAACAGACAGGCAGGCAGGCAGGCAGGCAGGCGGGCGGGCGGGCGGGCGGGCAGACAGGCAGGCAGGCCGGCCGGCCGGCGGACGGGCGGGCGGGGGGGCAGGCAGGCAGGCAGGCAGGCATGCAGACAGGCAGGCAGACAGAGACAGACAGACAGACAGACAGACAGACAGACAAGTGCTTTTCTTCGCACCCGTGGACGCGTCGTCGGCCTGTTGGAAGTTCTCAAAGATGGACCCCCTCTTATTGGGGGGGGTGCACATGTATGGCACCTAAACACCGTGAAGCCCTGCCTTATAGCTGCAAACCGCTCTACAAAGCCCTTCCTATCGCTGCCCGCCTGTGCCGCCGTGCGTCCTGGCAGTGGACGTGTTAGCCTGCTGGAAGTTCTCAAAGATGGATTCCCCCTTGTGGGGAGGGAGTGACTTACATGTATAGAACCTTATAGCCCTTCCTATCGCTGCCCACCTGTGCCGCCGTGCGTCCTGGCAGTGGACGCATCTGCCTGCTGGAAGTTCTCAAAGATAGACTCCCGCTTGTGGGGGGGGATGCCCGGCCCTGTGTCGTCCACTTCAAACACGAACGCCACCGTGCGCCGCGCCTTGGCCCCCCCTTCCCCTCCTACCCCCCCTGGTCCCGCTGCTGCCTCTGCTGCCATGCTCTCAGCATCGCGGCTCTTGGACCTGCTGTGCCGCCTGGTGCGAGGGGGTGGGGGAGGGAAGGGGGAAGGGGGAAGGGGGCAAGCGGGAGAGAAGGGGGGAGAGGGTTGGATGCCTGCCCGGCCCCGTGTTGTCCACTTCAAACATGAACGCCACTGTGCGCCGTGCCTTTCCCCCGCCTTCCCCTCTCCCACTCCTACTCTACTCCCCCTGCCCCCCCTGCTGCTTCTGTTGCCATGCTCTCCGCGTCGCGGCTCTTAGACCGGTTGTGGCACCTGGTGGGGCAAGAAAGGGGGGGGGGGAGAACAAGAGAGGAAGGCAAATGAACGGTTGGGATGAATGCCCGGCCCCTGTGCCGTCCACTTCAACCATGAGCCACCATTCGCCAGACATTGCCCTCACCTCCTGCCCCTGCCATTCACTTCCCTCCCACCACTCACTTTCGAGAATATTAAAAAAGCAAGTTGGTTTATGAGAAATCTCAAAAACCACTTCCCTCCCATCACTCAGTTTCACCCCCCAGCTCACTTCTTTTTCACACCTCCCCTCCTGCCCCACTCACTCACTTCCTATTCTCCCCCGGGATTGAGAGGTCTTGCTTGGCCAGCAGAAACGGCGGCCAGATCCTCATCCCTCCCCCACCCGCCTTCAAAGCCTCTACGCTTTCCACACTGCCCCACATACCATACCCTCCCCCCCTCCGACACACTTTGCCCCCCACTCAGTCACTCACTTGATTCTTTGATTCTCCCCCGGGATCGAGAGGTCCTGCTTGGCCAGCTGTGGGGGTGGTCTGTCTGTCACCTCACCCAACCCCGCAGCACCACCTGAGTCTCCCTTCCCATTCCCCACTGCCCACTATTGCAACCCCCCCACTCAGCCACTCACTTGCTCTTCTCGCCTGGGATGGAGAGGTCCTGCTTGGCCAGCTGGGGCGGTGGCCGATCCCTCACCCACCCCCTCACCACCACCTGGCCGTTCTTGGTGAACTTGCACGCGTTGCTCAGAAGATTGGCAAACACCTGGAAGGGGTGGGGGGGGGGGGGGGTTGGGGGGGTAATGCAGGGGGGAAGAGGGGCTAATGAGGGGGCGGACTCACCGCCACCTGGCCGTTCTTGCAGGCGTTGCTCAGGAGATTGGCGAACACCTGGTGGAGGGTGGGGGGGGAGAAGAGGAGGAGAAGAGGAGGAGAAGAGGAGGAGAAGAGGAGGAGAAGAGGAGGAGAAGAGGAGGAGAAGAGAAGGAGAAGAGGGGAAGGAGGGACTCTCGAGATGACTCACCACCACCGCCTGCCTGGCCGTTCTTGGTGAACTTGCATGCGTTGCTGAGGAGATTCGCAAACACCTGATTGGGAGAGGAGGGGGGGGGGGGAGGGATGCAGGTGGGAGAGAGGGGAAGGGAGAGGAGGAAGAGTGAGGTGGAAGAGGGGCTTATGAGCGGACTCACCACCACACCACCTGGCTGTTCTTGGTGAACTTGCAGGCGTTGCTGAGGAGGAGATTCGCAGACGTCTGACGGGGAGAGGGGCGAGGAGAGGGAGGGAGGAACGAAAAATATGGAGAGAGGAGAGAAGGGGTGGGCTCACGCCCTCACCTCACCACCGCCTGGCCGTTTTGCACAGGGGATTTGCGAACACCTGAAAGCCAGCAGCACGGATACTTTCAAAATTTGCTCTTGGGCTGCTTGAATTCATTTCCCAGGAGTCAGGGTACATTCCGGGCTCGTGTCATCCCAGCCCGGAATGTACCCGTAATGGGGGGAGGGAAGAGAAGATGGTGCGCGAATAAGGGGGCAGGAAAGGGGGGAGAAGGGCGAGGGCGAGGGGGAAGACGAAGAAAAGAAATGGAGGAGGAAGTTGGGAATAGTTGAAAGGGGACGAGATGGGTAAGGGAGGGAGGGGAGGAAAATAGTGTGGGAGGAGGAGGAAACGGAAGGCCGCCGCACCTGCCTGACCCTTGACGGGTCTCCCTTGACCGTGCGTTCGATGTCGTCGGAGAGATCGAGGGCGATCTCAGTGCCGTTGCTGAGCCCTTGCACACTGAACATGTCGACCAGCGACTCCAGCTCGCCCACTATGTCAAACTCCAGCACCTCCAGCTGCATCTTGCCCGCCTCCACCTGGTGAAAACAAGCGGGAGGAGAGGGCGGAGGGAGAGGGGGGGGGGGGGGGGGGCACGCATAGGTGTGGGAGAGACATTCACCATCGACTCGAGCTCGCCCAGTTTGTCAAACTCCCAGCTGCATCTTGCCCGCTTCCACCTGGTGAAAACAAGCGGGAGGAGAGGGGGGAGGAACGAGGGAGCCACCGGCACACACAGATGTGATAGCGAGCAATAGTCTACTCAATAGCGAGCAAGGAATGCGAGCGGGCGACTGGAATGCGGGCGACTAAACGGTATGAACAAATAGAGATGATCTGTTAGTGAGCAGTAGACTATAGTTGAAGGGGTTGTACCTTGGCGAGGTTCAGGAGGTTGTTGAGCAGCCCCAGCAGCGACGCATACCACGACTTCATCTGCCGTAGATGTTATTAGTTGTTAACAACTCTCAAGCTGGCTGCATAAACTCGACAAGAGCTTTTTTCTAACTAGGGCTCCTCTAACCCCCTCCTAAACGCAATCTCGCCTATGGGGTTCGTTTTGTTGTATTAACCTACAGAATTGATAGAAATAGGGCCTCCGCAGCCCACCTGTAATCCATCTACGACTCCAGCCGCAGCAGCGACGCACAACACTACTTCATCTGCCGTAGATTGGCCGCTTGGAGTGAGAAAGCGCACGCTGGAGTGAGCCGCACCTTAGCTAGAGTTTACGCTGTAGCAGGGGTGGAGCTGCGAGAGAGAGGGAGGGGGGGGTAACCGTACCTTGGCGAGGTCCAGGAGGTTGTTGAGCAGCCCCAGCAGTGAAGCACAGCAGGACTTCATCTGCCGTAAATTTGCCTCCTGCTCCGATGACAGGTGGTCGCACAGCATGATGTCCAACAGCCCCAGGATGCTGGAGGGAAGGGTGAATGGGGGGTTCAATGGGGGAGAAGGGGGGGGAGAGGGAGGGGGGGGGGAAGAGCGGGGCAAGAGGAAAAAATGGACACACAGCGTGATTGGCCTCTTGCTCCGATGATAAGTGGCGCACAGCATGATGTCCGGCAGCCCCAAAGGTCACCCCCTCCCGCCCGACCGGGGTGTAGTTTTGAGGCTCCTCAAAAACAAAGGTGGGCTCCATGATTCTCCATCCGGTGCTGAAGCTCCTCCTTACATCGGATGCTCGTGGCCAGGTGGAGCTCCTCCTTACATCGGATGCTCGTGGCCAGGTGGAGCTCCTCCTTACATCGGATGCTCGTGGCCAGGTGGAGCTCCTCCTTACGTTGGATGCTCGTGGCCAGGTGGAACTCCTCACATCGGATGCTCGTGGCCAGGTGGAGCTCCTCCTTACGTCGGATGCTCGTGGCCAGGTGGAGCTCCTCCTTAAACCGGATGCTCGTGGCCAGGTGGAGCTCCTCCTTACGCCGGATGCTCGTGGCCAGGTGGAGCTCCTCCTTAAACCGGATGCTCGTGGCCAGGTGGAGCTCCTCCTTGCGTCAGATGCTCGTGGCGGAGCTCCTCCTTAAGTCGGATGCTCGTGGCCAGGTGGAGCTCCTCCTTACGTCAGATGCACGTGGCCAGGTGGAGCTCCTCCTTACGTCGGATGCTCGTGGCCAGGTGGAGCTCCTCCTTACACCGGATGCTCGTGGCCAGGTGGAGCTCCTCCTTATGCCGGATGCTCGTGGCCAGGTGGAGCTCCTCCTTACGTCGGATGCTCGTGGCCAGGTGAAGCTCCTCCTTACGTCGGATGCTTGTGGCCAGGTGGAGCTCCTCCTTAGTCGGATGCTCGTGGCCAGGTGGAGCGGCGGCAGGACGATCACCACCGCCCGTCCAATCGCGGTGCGTGAGTGACGTGGGTGTAGCGTGCGTGGGGTCATCGAGTGAGAGTGCGCGGGAGGGAGAGACGGCAAGCTTCTCCACACTCATCCGGCCATAGGCCCTTACTTAGCCACGCCTTCCCTTCCAACCTTCCCTTCGTAGCTTCTATCCCATTCCTATTGTTGGAGATAGGCAGCAATTTGGTTGGCACAACTTTGTGTGTTAGGAATTTGTTGGTTTTAGGGTTAGGCATATTTGTTAGGTTGGGTGTAGCTTTGTTTTCATCCCCAGCCTATCCCAACCCAATCCATCCCAAATCCCCCGATTTGGGAGAATTCCCTTGGGATTCCCTCCAATTCTCCCTTATCCCTTCCCATCCTCTCCGATGCTCAGTACTTAAGGATGTATGCTCTTGCTCATTTATCAAAGAAGTTTTCAGTTTCTGACATGGTATAAGTGCTCCTTTCCCGCCCACGCGGCTCATGATCCTCTCGCTCCGCCGGAGCCTCGCTTGTGCGCTCTAGTTCGCACAACCTCTCTTCGTACTAAGACGTCACGGTCTTAAGTGCATTCTGTTTTTCTTTCTCAGATCTAGCGCTAGCGCTTCCCGGCTCTTAGCGCCGGATTTCCGCCCGTCGCCCCGCATCTGCTCGGCTCTTCACTTCGGGCTGAGCCCGTCGCCCCGCATCTAGGCTTGAGCAACGGGTCGGGTCGGGTCGGGTAACCCGACCCGAACCCGACTTTTTGACGGGTCGGGTCGACATTTGCGGAGGGTCTACCCGACCCGACCCGACCGACAAAACCCGACCCGTCGGGTTGGCTTATTACCCGTCCCTGCCCCTATGCCAACCCGACCCGACCCGACCCGAAATCGGGTCAGGTAGCACCCGACCTATTAAACCCGGGTCGGGTTGACATTTCCTGAACTCCGACCCGACTTGACCCGACCCGACCCAACCCAAACCCGACATCGGGTAGGGCAAAGTCGGGTCGGGTCGGGTCGGGTCGGGTTCATGCTCAAGCCTACCCGCATCTGCTCGTCGCACCTGATCGGGCTGAGCCCGTCCCCGCATCTCCTCGTCGCACCTGATCGGGCTGAGCCCGTCGCCCCGCATCTGCTCGTCGCACCTGATCGGGCTGAGCCTGTCGCCCCCCATCTGCTCGTCGCACCTGATCGGGCTAAGCCCGTCGCCCGCATCTGCTCGTCGAAGCTGAATGGGCTGCCGCTCGTCGCCCCGCATCTGCTCGTCGAAGCTGAACGGGTTGCCGCCTGTCGCCCCGCATCTGCTCATGGAAGCTGAACGGGCTGCCGCCCCGCAACAGCGGTGGGGGGTGCAGCGGCGAAGCGGAAAGGGGGCAGCGGCGAAGCGGAAAGGGGGGGGGGTCGCGGAGTAGCGGGATTGCAGCAGCATTTCGTATCGATTTTCCGGCGATCAGATTTTCTTCTGAATCCGCCATTCTCGCTCTCCGAGTGTTGAAAATCCGCAAAGGAAAATCTACTTTTTCACCGAAGTGCCTATCGGCGACTTAAGAGCTGTGCTACGCGCGGAGAAAGGGTCCTTGAACATCATGGCGTACCCTTCCGCGTCTCTCTCAAACCCGATCACTCCCTTGCGCCTCGACCCCAACGGCTCAAGCCCTAACTTCAAGGAGTGGAGCTATGGGGTTGATAAGCATCTCTTAAGCCGCAAGATTGAGGGGATTTGCCTCAAGGATGTCCCCCTCAATCGCAACAAGAGGAAATATGCCAATCCTTCCCAAAAAGCTCTTGGCCACAGCCACTGAGGAAGAGACCAAGGCGCATGAGGAATCCATGTCCAAGTATGAGGAATCTTACAGCGTGTGGGAGCAAGCCGACGCTGCCATCATCGGCGTCTTTGTCGGCACTACCCCTTCCGAGCTCGTCAAAACTTACCATAACTATCCTTCCGCGCATGCCATTTGGGAGTATCTCAACGATCGCTTCCTCAACAAAACCGCGGTGGGGGTGGCGATCCTCATCCCCCGCATGTTTCAAGTGCGCCTAGAGGAGTGCCCTGTAATGGCAGATTATGTCGCTGAGATTCAAGGGATTCATCAAGAGCTCAAGCAACTCGGCATTGTCTTCCCAGAGCAAGCCCTTGTAGCAGCTTTGCTTGTTGGATTGACCTCCTCTTACAATGTCACTCGCTCCATGCTTCTCCATCTCTCGCCAGAAGGGTTAACCTTCGCCAAGGTCTCTTCCGCACTTCTCTCTGCTGAAAATGACAACACTGCGCAGGCTCGAGCAAATGCGCTTCGCGCTCCAGTCCCGGCTCCAGCATCCCGTCCTAATGTACCACCCACTCGTAACCGCTATCCACCTTGTCCTTACATCATCAAAATGGGATCGCGCATGGGTCAGGTGTGCGGCGGCACCAATCATCCACTCGCCACCTGCTTCAAAAAGAAAGACGACGAGTGGTTTGCCAAGAATGGGGTCAACTCCAAGCCGCCCAACTGGCTTCGCATGCGCCAGCTCAACCATGTTGAGGCACAGGATAGTCAGGACTCAGCCATTGATGCCCCTAGTCCCGATGTTCGTCTCAACCTGTTGTTCCCTGGCCTTCCCATGATCAATGAAACCAGTTCCCAGTACTCGGCGTCTGCACAAACACCATCTAAACCACTTGAATTCGTTTGGGACAGTGGCGCAACCCACACGGTCCTTCGGGACAAAAGGTCGTTCACACCTAAGTGGAGAAATACGCTTGGGCAGCCTAGCGTATTGCGTATATACGCTAGCGTATAATACGAATACGCTGTACGCTAGCTAAGTACGCAATACGCTAGCGTATTTCTTGGCGGGCAGCCCGGCAAGAAATATGCAAAAAAAATTGCGACAAATTTGCGACATGGCGCGAAACCCCACACCCCACAGGGATTTCGCCATGTCGCAAACCGAAATTTGGCTTTTGAAATCGTCAACCCAACCCCTTCGCCCCTCCCAACCGCACAGCATCCCAACCAATCTGCGACTTCCAAACAACACCCAAAGAAATCTCCTTCCTCTCCCTCTCACTACTCTACTCAAGCAGGGTTTAGCGCAGTTCACTCGTACGACGAAATCACGGTACAAGTAAACTGGCGCGCTAGCTTTAGTAATTTCTTCTTCCAAGCTAGCGCGACTAGCTAGCTGGTTTTTCAGCGACTGCTGCTATGTCGACCCCCTCCACCTATTTATTACCATGCTAAATGATGCCAAATTTGGTAGGGGGAATTTGGTGCTCTGCAACCCCCCTCTTCCCTCCCCAAACAGGTTTTTTTACACCTGCCCGAGTTTTTTTTAGACCTGCCCGCCAGAGCGTACTTCCTAGCGTATCCAATCCCGGAATCAAGCGTACAGCGTATATACGCTAGCGTATAATACGCTGTACGCATATTTCTCCACTTAGGTTCACACCATACCAAGCACCCATTCCTCTCCTCGGCGCTGACTCCACTTTCACAACTGTCACCCATGGTTCTTCCACTCTTCCATGCCCAGCATTCTCATCAGGCTCAGTCACTGGCATACGCGTGCCCACTCTTTGGCACAATCTACTCGCACAGCATGAAATTCAACAATACGAGTAACCACCATCTTTCCTGCTCAATCGAGTCACTGCGATCTCTTTGACCCCATCACAAATACCCTCTTTGCACGCTTCACTCTGACGGCCAACAACCTCTACACACTCCAAGTACCTCCATCTTCCACTGAGGCACACTCTACCTCCACCACCTCATCGTGCTCCTGCCGTCAGCTCACTGACCTGACCATTCTTTACCACCATCGTCTGGGGCATCCCAACTTCCGCATGCTTTCCGAGCTTGCATAAAAAAAGTTGCTTCTTCACTTGCCCTTAACACTTCCTCCACCCTCCACTTCTCCCGCTCCTCCATGCTTGGACTGCGCGCAAAGCAAACTGCGCCAGCTGCCTCACCCTTCCTCGCCCTCTGCTGCAGCCGCCCCACTTGACCTCGTCCACATGGACGTCTGAGGCCCGGCTCGAGTACGCTCTCGTGGCGGGCACTCTTACCTCCTCGTGCTTGTTGACGATCACTCCCGCTATGCGTCCGTCCACCTACTCTCCCCTAAAGCAGCTGCTCCGGATGTCGTCATCGCATGGGTTCAACAAGCCCAAAATCATTTCCGCACATCAGTCAAGTGCCTCCATTCCGATGGCGGTGGCAAATTTCGAAATCATTCCCTTCAAACGTTCTGTACCTCCCAAGGCATTCGCCAGACCTTCACCCTTCCCCACAGTCCGCAGCAGAATGGCATTGCCGAAAGTCGCAATCGCACCCTCGTGCAAATCGCCCGCTGTCTTCTCACTCACGCTGGTGATCCACCATCCCTGTGGAGTTACGCCCTCCTCCATGCCACACTGCTGTACAACCTTCATCCTTACCCTCTCCGACCTACCATTACTCCCGTCGAACTGTGGCCAGGCACTAAGCCAAGCGCACGTCCTCTTCGCGTATTGGGGTGTACCGCTTATGTCCTCCTCAACCCTCAAGAGCGTTGCACCCATGGCGGCAAATTTGCACCCAAAACTCAACCATGTGTCTACCTCGGCCACAACCTGGACTCTCCCGACTACCTCTTTCTCAATCCCTCCACCAATCAGCTCATTTGCAACCGCGATGTCGCATTTGACGAGAGTCGCCCTTTTTACATCTCCTCACCACCCACCACCGCTCCACATTCGCTTGTGTGGGCCGATTTCGACACTTCACCCTCTCCACCTCTTCCCTCTGCCGCTGCTCCTGCAGCCCCCTCACTCTCGCCTCCTCCATCTCCTTCCACTCTCTCTCACCCCCCTTCCCCCACCGGTTCCGCTGCCCTTTCACCTCCGCCCGCACCTGTACCTACCTGCCGCTGCCCTTCCCCCTCCCTCTCCTTCTGCACCTCCCCCTGCGCCTGCCCCTCCATCTCCACCTTCACCTCCGCTTCCACCTCCACTATCCACCTCTTCTCCCGATTCCCCCGTCACCTATCGTCGCTGCCGCCAAGGACGCTCTTATGTCGACGTCTCCCCTCCCCCCCCCCCCCCCGCACCTCCTCCATCCTCTCCTGTCCCTGTTGCTCACCGCACCCGCTCTCATGGTCCCGCTCCGCCTCTCGCCCTCTCTGTTCGCATGTCCCTCAATCCGCCTCCTCCTGTCAGGGGTGCATCCATGCCTGGCCTCTTGGAGGATAGGCATGAGGAGTTGATTGAGATCAATGCTGCCATCCATCAGCTCTGCTATCTCTTCCCCGACCTTGCCGACGCTCCAACTCTCAACTTCTCGAAAAATTTCATCCATCCCGACCCCGAACTCGTACGATGAAACCATCTCTTGACCACACTCCCCTCAGTGGCTTGCAACCATGATCGCGGAGTGTGAAGCATTCATTCGTAACAATTCTTTCACGGACGTCTCTCCTCCGCGAGGAGTCAACATTGTCCGTGGCAAATGAGTTTTTCGCGTCAAGAAGCTGCCTGACGAACTCCCAGTCTTCAAGGCACGATACTGTGCAAAAGGCTTCACTCAGAAAAAGGGTCTGGACTTCTTCAACACGTTCTCTCCGACGGCCAAACTGCCCACTCCACGGACCCTGCTGGACATCGCTGCTCGATGCAACTTTTACGTCCACTCCATGGACGTCTCTGCTGCATTTCTCCAAGGGGATCTCCCCGAGGACATCTACATGGAACGTCCTCAAAGATTTCCCTTGCCCTTTCCACCCGGCACGGTTTGAAAACTAAATCGACCAGTCTACAGGTTGAAGCAGGCTCCTCGAGAATGGCACAAGAAGCTGAAGGCAACCCTCGAGTCACTCGACTTCCACCCTTCCTCCGCCGATCCGAGTCTCTTCATTCGGACGAACGAGAACCCGTTCTTCATTCTCGCCTACGTCGACGATATGGTTCTCGTCTCCAAGGACTTCGATCAGCTGGCAGCTGTCAAGCAAGCACTTGGGGACGCTCTCCCCATGAAGGACCTCGGCGAACTAAAGAACTACCTAGGGATGGAAATCTCGAGGGATCGCGAAGCTCACACCATCACTCTCTCCCAAGATTTCTATGTGAACAACGTCCTCAAGCGTTTTGCCATGGACAACGCCAAGCCAGTGGCCGCTCCCCTTCCACTGCAGCATGATTTGACCGTTCCATCACTTCCATCTCCTAAGCCTTGTAATGAGGCATATCCCGAGCTCGTCGGATCACTCAGGTATGCGATGATGTGCACAACGCCCGACATCGCCTACCCCATCAGTGTGCTCTCGCGTTACGTTGCTGCCAGTCGATACACCAATCACCACTGGTCGGCTGCCAAGCGCGTCCTTCGCTACCTTCAAGCCACCAAGGACTACGTCCTCACTCTGTGTGGCACAACCTCTCCACACCTCGAAGGATACAACGACTCCTCATGGGCTGATGATCAAGCTGACCGCCGCTCTTCCCAAGGCTATTGCTTCACCCTTGGCAGTGGTGTCATCAGCTGGCGAACTACACGCTCATCATCCGTCTCATTGTCATCCAGCGAAGCTGAGCTATACGCAGGCACCATGGCAGCCCAAGAAGCTCGATGGCTTACCTACCTCATGGCTGAGCTCGGGTATCCTCAGCACACCCCGACTCTGTGGTGTGACACCGAGAGCACCATACACCTTACCAAAGACCCTGTCTTCCACCAACGGACCAAGCATATCGAACTTCGACACTTCTTCATGCGCGAGCTTGTCCAGCGCGCGCATTTGTGTGTCAAGCACATCTCCTCTGACTGCAACCTCGCCGACTTGTTCACCAAGGCTCTTGGATGTCGTGACCAATATCGTCTCCTTCCTACCATGAGACTTGGCGTCCTTACGACGTCCGACGTTGCAGCCTAGGGGGTGTGTTGGAGATAGGCTGCAATTTGGTTGGCACAACTTTGTGTGTTAGGAATTTGTTGGTTTTAGGGTTAGGCATATTTGTTAGGTTGGGTGTAGCTTTGTTTTCATCCCCAACCTATCCCAACCCAATCCATTCCAAATCCTCCGATTTGGGAGGATTCCTTTGGGATTCCCTCAAATTCTCCCTTATCCCTTCCCATCCTCTCCGATGCTCGGTACTTAAGGATGTATGCTGTTGCTCATGTATCAATGAAGTTTTCAGTTTCTGACACCTATGCAATTCCTTTCCTTCATCAACAAACCGATTTTTTTCTCTTTTTATCTAACATGGTCTCTCTTATGGCTCTCGCCAAATATTTTTCCCCGATCCTCGGTTTCACTCCCAAGCTTTCGCCCCTTCCCCTTCCAACATGCGCCCCTCAGCCCTCCTCACGTTCGCCGCCAGTAGCCTCCTAGTCGCCGTTGCCGCAGCTAGCCTCTAGCCGCCGCCCCTCCCTTCGCCGCCCCTAGTCCTCCCGTTCTTGTTTTCTAACATGCGTGTGTGTGTGGGTGTGGGGGGGGGGGGGGGGGGGGGAGGGGGGGTGGAGAGCGAGAGGGAGGGAGAAAGAGGGGGAGAGAAGCAAGCCCAAGCCCAGCCCGGGACTCACCCGGCCATAGGCGTCCTCAGATCATGCGAGATATTCGCCAGGAACTGGCTTTTCACTTCAGAGGCCGCCTGTGCGCGCTGGGTCTCCTCCATCTGACGCTGCAACTCCTCCTTGGGGCGCATGCGCGTGTCCACGTAGAGCGTGAGGAAGATCACCACCGCCCACCCGATCAGCAGCAGGCACAGCGCCACAGCGGTGGTGACTACGACCATGACGCGCTGCTTGGACTCGATGGACGCCGTGATGGATGCCCGGGGCATGACGATCGCCAGGTACTGGGGCGGGATGGGTGGGGGGCGTGTGGGGGTGGGAGGGAGGGAGGGGGGGAGGGGGGGGGGGAGGGGGGGGGAGGGGGTGTGGGGAAGGGGGGGAGGGAGAGATAGGCAGGAGTGGGTTTAGGGTGGGACAGCAGTCCCATCCCCGCTCCAGGGGGTAGACAGGAGTGAGCGTTCACGAGATCACCACCCACCACCCAACCGATCAGCAGCAAGCAGAGTGGAATAGAAGCTGAGGGCCATTCCCTCACATGCTCTCACACGCATGCATGCACACTAACAGATGCGCTCACAAAGACTCACCATGTTGAGGTTGTCGAAGGTGAGTGCCATGGTGCTGACATAGCTCTCCTCCCCGTTCACAACCACCCCGCCCACCGAGTAGTTCCCCGCCACCAGCGCCGCCAGCCCAAACCGCGCCTCCAGATACCGCGCCGTGTCCTTAATCACCAGATCCGCGACCTCACTAGCGTTCACCAGCACTGTCATCCCCTGCGCCCCCCCCGGCCCTGCAGAGTCCAGCGGCGGCAGCTGCTGCGTCGAGTTTCCCTGCGCGCTGCCCCCCGCCCCCGCCGTCGAGTTTCCCTGTGCTCCTTGGCTCGTTGCACCCATGCTGTTTCCGGCAGGAGGACCACCCGTGGCGGCAGCAGCAGGGTTTGCCGTGGCGGTGGCGGTGGTGGCGGCGTTGGTGGAGGAGGCGACAAGGAAGCCCTGGTCGGAGCAGATGTACATAACGCTGTTGTCCGTGCCCGACTGCCCCAGGTAGCGGTTCAGCGTGCCTGTGGAGGAGCCTAGCATTGCCATGCCCGTGATGGCGGGGAGGGAGGAGGAGGACGAGGAGGGGGTGGCGGCAGTGGTGGTGGTGGCGGCAGTGGTGGTGGAAGCGCGAGAAGGGGGAAGGGAGAAGGTGGGGGAGGGGGAGGCAGAGGGAGGAGCGGAGGAGGTGTTGGAGGAGGAGGAGGAAGAGGTGGTGGAAGTGAGCGGGGAAGCAGTCCCAACAGAGGCAGCAGCAGCAGAGGCAGCAGCAGCAGAGGCAGCAGCAGAAGCAGCAGCAGGAGCAGTAGCAGGAGCAGGAGCAGCAGCTGAGGCGACATGGGTGTGCCGATGAGGATGAAAGTGGGGATGGATATGGATGTGGATGTCGGGCAGCGACAAAACCTCCCGAGCCACCAAACCACTACTCTCACCCTCTACAACCCCATCCCCATTCCCATGCCTATCCGCAGAATTGGCCCCTTGAATCGTCGAGTCAAGCTTAGTCGCCTCTCCCACCCCTCCCAATCCCCTCCCTTTCGCACTCCCTCCCCCACTGCCCGATGCCACTCCGACCCCCGCACCCCCTCCCCCAAGCCACCACTCCCCCCCCCCAAATCCTCCCCAATTGCCCGCCTCTGCTCGGCCCCCCGCACAGCCACGGACGCCAGCAGAAGCGGTCCAGAGAGGTTCTGAATGGCGCTGAAGGACCAGAGGAGCAGCCCCGGGGGCCCGTTGGCCACCTTTTCGTATAACGCCGGGTTTCCCATTGGCACGGGCGTGAACTTCCGGGGCGGCTCCTGGGGGAGAGCGGACCCGGTGGAGGTGTTAACTGCCTGGATGTACCATTGACCTGGATTGGAGGGGTAGGGGGGCGAGGGGGAGGGGGGGGGGGGGGGGTAGAGGGGGAATGGGGGGGAGGAAGAATGGGGGAGGAAGGAGAGGGGGGGGTGGAGAGATCAGAGTTGAAGCACAAGCAGCAGCAGCGGTCCAGAGAGGTTCTGAACGGCACTGAAGGACCAGAGGAGCAGCCCCGGGGGGGCGCTGGTCACTGCGTTGTATAAAGCAGGGGACCCCATAGGCACGGGCGTGAAGTTCCGGGGTGGATCCAGAGGAGGTGTTTACTGCCTGGATGAACCAGCAGCCTGTATGGAAGTGAGGGGAGGGCGGGGGTTGGGTGGTTCGTGACAAGGGAGTGGGGATGGACGAGACATGAAAACTGCAGGGGGGGGGCGGATCCGGTGGAGATGTTTATTGCCCGGATGGACCAGCAACTTGGTCTGAGAGAGAAGGGCGCGTGGTGCACAGGGAGTAGGAGAGGGGCCACCCGAGCAGGAGGGACCAGCACAACCATCCACCCACCCACCCGCCCACAATCTCGCCCATGATTTTATGCCGTCTACTCAACTGTAATGTCAGTCAGGTTCTTAGAGTAGACCTGGGACACGGCCCCCCCAGGGGTGGCGGAGCAGAGAAGGACTGGGAGTAGGGAGAGGAGGCAGCCGTTGAGGGAATGCAGCACCAACTCACCCACCTTGTCGCCTTCTGCTCACCTGTAATGTCCGTCAGATTTTTAGTGTGCACCTGGGAGACGGCCCCCCCATGGGTGGGAGAGAAGGAAGGACTGGGTAACGGGGTCGTTCTGGGAATAGGAGAGAAGGCAGGAGGAGGGACTTGCACAACCACCCACTCACTATTTCGACCATGATCTTATGCCTCCTACTCACCTGTTCTGTCAGTCAGATTCTGCGTGTAGACTTGAGAAACAGCACCACCAGGGGTGGCAGAGAAGGACTGGGTAACGGGGTCGTTCTGCGAGTAGGAGAGGAGGCAGCCGTTGAGGGAGAAGTAGCCGAGGATAGCGAGGCGCGGGAGAGACGACTGGAAGAAGGACCACTCCAGGGGGGCGATCTGTAGGGGAGGGGTAGGGGCAGATGCACATGGGGAGAAAGTGCAGGGAAGAGCAAGAGAGCGAGGGTTTAGCAAGAAAGGAGAGGAGGCAGCCATTGAGGGAGAAGTAGCCGAGGAAAGCGAGGCAGGGGAGAGAGGACTGGAAGAAGGACCACGCCAGAAGGGTGATCTGTAAGCAGGGGCGGAAGGATGGAGAAGGGGAAGGGCGAGCGTGAGGGAATAGTCAAACCTTTTTCTCAATACAATCTATAGGGGTAAGCAAGAGAGCGTAGGGGAGAGAGGACTGGAAGAAGGACCATGCCAGAGGGGCGATGTGTAAGCAGGGGCGGAAGGATGGAGAAGGGGAAGGGCGAGCGTGAGGGAATAGTCAAACCTTTTACTTCAATACAATCTGTATCTGTGGGAGAAGATTATGGCACTTGTGTTTTTGTGGTTCTGGCTTGTGGCTCGGGTGTGGTCAGTGGATTAATCAAACCTTATACTTCAATACAACCTGTGCAAGAAAGATTATGGCACTCTGCACTGCACTGCACCCAATGGAAACGTCCTTCTCCTGCACTGTGCCCACATCAGTGGGACAACGGACATGTTGGTTGGTGCGCTCCAGTAGGTAAGTCTCTCAACCACAGAGGCAAAGGCCAGCGGCACGGCCCTGTCCCTGCCGACTACCTTTCAGCATGATTGTTTGCTCCAACATGCAGTGTGCACCGTACCCTCTCCAGCTGAGCCCACTTCAAAGGAACCACGGACGGGCGTGTTGGTGTGCTCCAGCAGATTCTCAGCCACAGAGGCAAAGGCCAGCAGCAGCACGTCCCTGTCCCTCTGCCCCTGCTGATGCTCCTACTTGCCTCATTTTCAACACTCTTTCTCTTTCCCCCACTTCAACACACCTTCTCCTGGGCCCACTTCAAAGGAACCACGGACGTGTTGGTGTGCTCTAGACGGTTCTCAACCACAGGCGAAAGCCAGCAGCAGCACGTCCCTGCCACTGCCCCTTTGAAGGCACCCTCCCTGCTCCCCTTGCAGCCTACCTTCTCCTGTGCATTTATTAGGCCCCTCAAAAATAGATTCCCTGTTCCCATTGCTGCCCACCTTCTCCTGCGCTCACATCAATGGCATGGCACCACGGACGTGTTGGTGTGCTCCAGTAAGTTTTTTACCACAGAGGCAAAGAGGCGAAGAACAAAGCACGGCATACAGCTCTCTCGCAGCGCACCTTCTCCCGTCCCGCGCCCACTTCAATAGCACCGCGGACGAGTTGGCGTGCTCTGGCAGATTCTCAACCACACAGGCGAAGAGGCGAAGAACAAAGCAGGGCACGGATTGGTGTGCTCTCTTGCAGCCTACCTTCTCCTGCGCCCATTTGAGCGGCACCACGGACGTGTTGGTGTGCTCCAGTAGGTTTTCGAGCACAGAGCTGAAGGCCAGCAGCACATCCCTGTCCCTGTTGATGTAGAGCAGAAACTGCTGGTGCACCCGCACTAACGACTTCTCCCTCAATCTGCAGGAACGGGAGTGAAAAGATGTGGGGGAAGGGGGGGCGAGAAGGGTGGCAGATAGAGAAAAGAGGGGAGAAGGGAAGGGGGAAAGCTCGCTCGTCCCTGTCCCTGTTGATGTAGAGCAGCAACTGCTGGTGCACTGGTGCACTCGCACTAGCGACTTCTCCCTCAATCTGGAGGAACGGGGGCGAAAAGACGTGGGGGGAGGAGGGGAGAGAAGGGTGGCAGATAGAGAAAAGGGGGGAGAAGGGAAGGGGGGAAGCTCGCTCGTCCCTGTCCCTGTTGATGAAGAGCAGCAACTGCTGGTGCACTGGTGCACCCGCACTAGCGACTTCTCCCTCAATCTGGAGGAACGGGGGCGAAAAGACGTGGGGGGAGGAGGGGAGAGAAGGGTGGCAGATAGAGAAAAGGGGGGAGAAGGGAAAGGGGGAAGCTCGCTCGTCCCTGTCCCTGTTGATGTAGAGCAGCAACTGCTGGTGCACTGGTGCACCCGCACTAGCGACTTCTCCCTCAATCTAGATGGGGAGGGGAGAAAACGAAAGGTGTAAGGGGGAGGATAAAGGCGAGCGAATAGGGGGAGGGGGGGGCGATGGGGGCCAGCAGCGTGTCCCCGTCACTGTTAATGAAGAGCAGGAACTGCTGCTGGTGCACTGGTGCACTCGCATTAGAGACCTCTCCCTCAACCTGTCAAGAGATGAGTGGCAAGAGTAGGAAGTTGGGGGCAAGGGGTGAGTGAATAGTGAAGGGGGGGACAAGCGAGCAGCACCATGCGCTGCAGGTCTGCGTTGACCTGACCTAGGGCAGAAGCTGCAGTTGCGTTTGCACCCTGGTGCGTTCGCACTCTGGTGGATTCGCACCAAAGATTTCTCCCTCAACCTGAAGGGTCAATTTTCTAGGCGCCTCAAAAAAAATAGAAAGGGGGGGGCAGGCGAGTAGCACGCTGCGCTGCACATCTCCGTTGACCTAACCTAGGGCAGGACTCAGGGGCTGCTGGTGCATTCGCACTGGAGATTTCTCCCTCAACCTGAAGGGAGAGGAGAGAGGCGGGGAACAGCGTTGGGGGGTAGGTGACAGTGATGGATGACTGCAGATACCAGAGGCGATGAGGGCAAGCAGCGTCCCTGTCCCTGTTAACCTAGGCCACGAGCTGCTGGTGCATTCGCACTGGAAATTTCTTCCTCAACCTGAAGGGAGAGGAGGGAGGGGGTTGGGGAAAGAAGGTGCGCGGAGTTATTGTATACTGTGAAGGGATGGCACACACTGTAGAGTAGAACTTTTAAAATGCAGTTTAAGCAGCCAACTGCGTGGCAATATCATTGATGGAGCCCCTGTACCCGTTATTAACTTTACCCAGATGTGTGTGCACGGCTCTAGAACTTGCGTGTGAATGGTTGGAGGAGAATCTTACTTTGTGGCGACGTTACCAAGCGAATCATCACGAGTTATTAGTGTAAGCTGCTGCTCTCCCAACCGAGGCTTATGGCTACATCGCTGTATGTACATCTTGAGACGACCTTCGGCACATCACTGTATTGTATGTGTTTCTGAGACTCGTTACCGTACATGAAATTTAAGAAGCTTACTGTGTGGCGATGTCATCCAGGGAGTCGCTGTACATCTTGCCAGCTGCATACCACGTGCTTACGCAGAGCACCACTGTGACTATAACGAGCAGAGCCTGAAAGGCAGCACGGGGGAAGGAGAAGATGAATAAATTGTTTAGTCGACTCAGAAGATGAGTAACACCACACTGTGCCCCGCAACAGCAATTCATGTGCTTGCACGGAGCACCGAAGTGACTTTGACACATCACACAAGCTCACACAACGGGTCCACTCTTCTGTGACTATAGCGAAAGTGGGGACTGTAACATGCCATCGTGGTGACTTTAACGAAAGTGGGAACTGTAACATACCATCGTGGTGGTGACTATAACGAGATTGGGGACTGTAACATACCATCGTGGTGACTAAACATACCATTGTGGTGACTATAACGAAAGTGGGGACTGTAACATACCATCATGGTGAGGCGGGTGATAACAACAGGAGACTTGAGTGACTCCATAAGGAACCTTCCGCCACCCTTCCTCATAAGCCATCCATCTCCCTCCCTTCCCCTCTCCTCTTCTGCCCTGCTCCCTCCCCGCCCTTTCGCCTTTGCGGCTCCCCCCCCTTCCTTGCCCCTCTTCCCGTGACGCCATGGCTTCTTCTCCTTCCCACCTCCAGCGTTATCATCATCAGTTGCTCTGCCACGCCCATCCACTAAAAGCGGCACCGAGAAGCACCCAGCAGCACCGCTCTGGACCGCTTGCCATGCCTTGCTCCTCCTCCGCCTCCTCCTCCCTTCCACCTCCTCCCCATCCTCCACCCCCTCTCTCCCACCATTCCCACCAGCAGCACCATCACTAGCATCACCCCCAGCACCAGCAATAGCGTCATCCTCATCATGTTCGGCAAAGCCCATTCTGCAGAACCGTCTCGCACTCAGCATCCCTAGCAGGTCCATCACCCTCTCCCTCTTCGACATGTGCATCGGCACAGGCGAGTGCGCTCCGTTATTCCACAACCCGTTACCGTTACTAGAACCGAGCCCCTGGCTGCTGCAGCTGCTGGTGTTGCTGTTGCTCCGGCCTTGGGAATGTAACTTAGTGGGATGATTTTGCTTTTCGCCCTCTGCTACACGGCTGGATAACTCTACTTGCTTTCCTCCACTGTTCACCGGATCCGTTATAGCCTGCTCCGATATAACCTGCTCCGTTATAGACTGCTCCGTTATTTCGTGTAGGCCCTGGCTGCTACCGCTACCTGCCCCACTCCCTGTTCCGCTCTCTGGCAAACTCCCTCCCCCGCTCCCTCCTCCGCTCCCAGCACCACTGCCGCCGCCGCTGCTTCTGGCCAAACTGTTGAAACCGCTCAAACTGCCGCTGCTTGGGTCCAAACCTGTACGCTCCGAACCTGCACGGTCCGAACCTGCCCGGTCCGAACCTGGAGCTACTCCTTCCGAACCTCCGTCTGCAGCAAAACTCGGACCTAGAGCCTCCGAAGCGTGTGGCTCCGTTAAAGGGATCCCCATGATCACACTAAACAGCTCCCGAAGCAGCGTTCCCTGCCTGTAGCTGCGGTATAGGGATTTCCATTATTAGCAATGTCTGGCCTGGGCTAGGTAACAACTAAGATTTCGCCTTTTGCGAATAAGTTAGGCATATGGTCGATACCTGGAGCACAAGGAAGGCACGCCACTAGTGAAGTGCGTAAGCAGAACGTAACTTAGTATAGTTACCTCCGCAGTCTTTGCGTTTCGACGATGCGTTTCGGCTATCACACCTCCTGCAGTTATGGGTGCTAATGCACGAAACGTAGCTTAAGACGCAGATTTAGGAACCATGGTCAGGGACGCTGTGTACAAAGCTGGTCGTCGTTACACGCAGCATCACTGCTATGCCTGCAGCGGTTGGTGCAGTCGTCGAAGCTTAGCTTCTGACACGAGTTAGTCGCACCTTAACTTAGCTACAGAGCCACGGGCCCTTCACGCGCTCAGTAAAGGAGTCTAACGCCGTTCCGGCTACGCCATTTCGTGTCCTTCACTCCATGTCCGCTCTTTCCTTCCGTAAGCTACTCCCTAGCCGCAATTTCCTTTCGTGACCTTGCTACTCGGCGTACACTCGCAAGAGCTGCACCTACAGCATCACTTGCTCGTCATTGACACGGCGCTTCGAGCTGCTAGGCTAGCTGAAAGCAAGACGTATTTAGGGTTCGGTGCTAGCGACAACGAGGTACAGTAGCCCAGCGGCATTCTCATGGTTGTCAGTGTGGAGGAATCTCGTGTATCCTGTGACCGAAGACGTCCGCTGACGTCACTGAGTGTTACAGTTCGTCCTAGAACGGTCTAACAGGTTAAAAACGCGTTATGATGCGGTGAATCGACTTCACATTCTGACTCGGTGCTTTTCAACCTACCACCCCTGACACCTCAGGGAAGCTGAAGCACCAGCACGAACGGGCAGGGAAACAAAGTAAATCGGGAAAACGACGTGGTTCTGTTCGGTTTGCCGTCTTGTTTGCTCGGTCACTTGTTTCACCACCGCAGCCTACGACTGGTGAGACAGTAGACCATGGAGCTTCGGCAGGGGCAACGGACGACTTAGATTTGAACTGTCTGGTGATCCATGGCGTTGGCCAGTGTTGGCGTACTCCCAACAAAATGAATTCGCTGTAGTAGTATAGCGGGTTCCACCCAGGAAATGTTAAATAAACATTCTACAAAAACCTAGCGCACAACCTTGACAAATCCTCTACATGTGGGTGGGTCATCCTAAGATCCTGGGAGTCTTTTTGTCCTAACTTTTCTCACCGGCCCTGTGCTTAAAACTTCAACTTGTAAACCTAAACCTTCTGGGTTGAACTCTCTCCTGCGTGTGTCAGTGTCGCGCACCTCTTCTACCACCCCTGCAACTCTTCCGTTCCTTGGCGAAACTTCATTCGACCCTTCTCGGCCAATCCACCCAGTAGCCTTTGCACCACCCCCCGGACCAGCTGCCACAACTTTACCACCATCACATATCTCTCCACCAGTATCACCACCAATCACAGCATCCACATGTCTTCCCCCTTTCTCCCTCTCGCCCCCAAGCAGCCACGCACTAGAAGAACCAGAATTCGCAGATGTAGAATGAGGCGGGGAGAACAGCTCGCGAGAGGAATGTTGTGGCGGCGACATGTGAAACTGGGAGGGAACTGGCGAGCGTGTGACCATTTCCGACCCCATTCCTGTGCCACATACCACATTTCTTTGGCTTGCTACTGCAGCTCTCGCCTCTTCCCAACCTGTTACAAGTGACTCTCCTCCTGCGGCTCCTGCTGCTGCTGCTGCTGCGGCGGCTGTTCCTGCTGTGGTAGCTGTTCCTGCTGCTGCTGCTGCTGCTGGTGATGACAATGGTGATGGTGATGGGGATGGTGATGGCAGTGCTTCCGCTGCTGTCGATGCCACCACTCCTTTCACTGGTGACAGCTGGGACTTGGCCTTTGTCCGCTGCCTCCTAGTAGCAGGGACTATGACATCCAGATCATGCACGTGACTCAGCTCCCGCCTAGCTGGATCCAGCAGATCATGCACGAGACCCGTGGCGGGACCTGAGGTGGTGACGTCACATGATGGGCTGTTTCCACCTGTACCAGTAGGACTGGTTAACGCCCTGTTTCTTTCTGTGATCGGCAAACAAGAGGCTGCTGCTCCTAACGCATTCTTGAGAGTCGAAATGCATGCCGCTTTGGAAGCGGATGCAACCGTCGCCTGGGGAGGGGAGGCAGTGATAGGTGTGGTAGGGGAAACAGCATTCTGGTCAGCCATGGTTTGGACTGCACGCCTTGCAATATCCCCCCTAAGGACTGCACTGGACGCAGGCCCTGCTGTGACTATGGCGGGGGCTGCTGTGACTACGGCAGAAGACGCATGCATTCTGGCTCTTGAGCTGAGGTGAGCTTGTGTGATTGGCTGTGTCCTGGCGGCTGATGACGTGGCAAGATTGCCAGCTGGTTTCAGTGGCGTGGCTGGACTTCCAGCTGGCTCAACACCGATTCGGGCGGCTGGTTGGCTGGTGACCTGCATTGACTGCGTTGACCTCGGTGGAAGCCCTGGTGATACTGCTTCTGGGAATGCTGTAGGAACGAATTCACTCAAGCTGAGCCCTGCTGCTTGGCTGTTGGCCTGCGCTAGCGATGCTGTACAACAGGACCCTGAGGCAGCATGATTCAGAAGAGTTTGCTGCTGCTGCTTCTGCGGCTGTTGGTGCTGCTGCTGCTGCTGCTGCTGCTGCTGCTGCTGCTGTTGGTGCTGGAGCTGTGCTAGAGTCAAATCATCGCAATCCTGTGCTCCTCCGCCTGTCTCTCGAATACCCCTTTGTCCCCTCTCCGCAATACGCTCCCTTCCTGTCTCCTCCCCGTCGAGCAGTCTGACCTTTGAACCTCTTCTCTTCTCGTATTTCCTTACTGCCCCTTCTGCGCCAGCCCCTTCAAACCTACACCATGCACCTCGAGCATCAGCCCCGTCAAACGAAGGTGATTTTTTAGACTTCTCAAAACTCACTGCGCCTTCCGTGCCAGCCCCTTCAAACGTGGACCATGTAGCTTCGTTACAATCACTTCCTCTTACAAGGCTCTCCTTGCCTCCATCTCGCACTGTTCCATCGCCGGCTCCTGCTGACACTACCGTCGAAGCTTCTCCATCCCCGTTTCCCAATCCTGCTCCTTCCTCTCCCCCAACCCCTGCCCATGCCCCTGCCCATGCCCCTGCCCCTGCCCATGCCCCTGCCCATGCCCCTGCCCCTGCCCCTGCCCCTGCCCCTGCCCCTGCCTCTGCCCCTGCACCTGCCCTCCCTGCTGTTGCTCTGCTACCCGACATTACATCTGCTTTAGCAGCCGTGCTCCTAGTCACTCTTACCTCCACTCTCGATTCCTTCACCCCTTCCTCTGCTGGCCCTCCAGGCCTCTCCCTCGCCTCAACTGACGCTTCCTCTCTGCTCCTCCCTCGCTTCCGCCCCACCACCTCCCCCTCCACTTTCCCAGCCGCCCTCCCCTCCACTTCCTTCCGCACCGTCCCGTCCACCTTCCCGTCCCCCTTCCCTTCCGCCCCCCCCTCGGCCTCGTGTGCTTGATCCTGAGACCCCCTGAAGGAGTAATCCACGTCCTCTTCGCTGGCCCTCCTTCCCCTTCCCCTGCCCTGCCTCCCTCTCTTCTCCCCCTCCTCCCCTTCCAGAGCAAGCTTCTGCTTCCCTTCCTGCCTTAGCCCCTTCTTCTGGCCCTGCTCAGGGATCGCACTAGCCCACCATGCGCCTGCATTTCCCAGCTCGCTGTGCAGTTTCGGCCCCTCTTTCTGCCCCTCTTTCTGCCCCTCTTTCTGCCCCTCTTTCTGCCCCTCTTTCTGCCCCTCTTTCTGCCCCTCTTTCTGCCCCTTCTGCCCATGTTTCTGCTCCTGTTTCTGCCCCTGCTCGTGCCCCTGTGTCTCCTCGCTGGGCAACGATCGTTGAGACACGCCCTCACCCGCCCCAAGGTTCCACGGATCTTCCGTCACCCTCTCAAACGTCCCCATCACCTCCCTCGGCTCCCTAGCGCTACCAACATCCAGCCCCCTAGCGGCCACGTCAGCGCCTCTAGAGCAGATTCCATCCCCTTGATAGTCAATCTCAGCTACGCTAGAGTGAGCCCCCTGAAGCTGCTTCAGCCTCTGCTGCTGCCTCCGCCTTGCCGCTGCTGCTGGCGAGTCCCCAAGGAGAGATGGGGGGGTTAGGAGAGCGGAAGGAGGAGCGGAAGGGGGAGCGGCAGCAGGAGCGGCAGCAAGAGCACGACCTGCACAGACAACACTCCCCTCCTCCCATTCCTCTCCCCTCCATTTCCTTTTCTCCCCACTTCCACCCTTCCCCTCATCCCGTCGCCCCTCCTCTCCTCCTCCTCCTTTTCTTCTCCCTTCCCTCTTCCGCTTCGCCCCAATAGCCTGAAGGCCCGAGAGATCCACGCAAGACTGCGAGCCACGATCTGCTTGCGACCAAGATTGTGCCTCCTGCTGCTGCTGCTGCTGCTGCTGCTGCTGCTGAACCTGAGGAGAAGCACCGCCGTCTCTCTGTGTCTGCGCACCTCTGAGCCTCAACGTGACCACCATGGAAACCGGCTTTCTCCTCGTCCCCGCCCCATACCCTTCTTCCTCGTCTCCCCACCCTTCCACCTTTCTCTCTCCCCCACTCCCCTGTTCGAGCCGTGATGCTGTGTATGTCACTGGAGGTGCCGTTACTCGAGGAGGCATGGCCCGGGGAGGGGTTAATCGGGGAGGTGTTACCCTGGGAGGCGCTACTCTGGGGGGAGTTACTCTGGGGGGTGTTCCTCTAGCAAATCTTCCACTGGCCGTTCTTCTTCCAAATACTGTCCTCTTTGGCTTCCGACCAACTCGTTTCTCTGATTTCTCGCCTTGCTCCAGTTCCGCCCTCTGCTGCGTCGGCTGCTGCTGTTGCTGCTCTTGCTGCTGCTCCTGCTGCTCTTGCTGCTGCTCCTGCTGCTCTTGCTGCTGCTGCTGCTGCTCCTGCTGCTCTTGCTGCTGCTGCTGCTGTCGCTGCTGCTGCTGCTGCTGCTTTTGCTGCTGTCGCTGCTGCTGCTGCTGCTGCTTTTGCTGCTGTCGCTGCTGCTGCTGCAGGAGTCTCTGCTGCCGAAGATCCGATCCGGAAGGGCGTCTGGGCAGCACCTGCTGCGGCTGGGGGCTGGGAGTCCGGGCGAGGTTGAGACCGGTTCTTTGCGATGCCAGGCGACCCTGCATGGAACAGGGACAGGAGGGGAGGAGGATGGGGTTGCGAGCCAGTGGGGGGAAGGATGGAATGAGGACCAGGATTTCTTTTGAGGCGCCTCAAAAGCAGTGGGGGCCAGGATGGAATGAGGACCAGGATTTTTACAGAATGAGCATACCTTGCCAAGGCATTTCTGAAGATGGAAGGCGAATCTGCCGGCTGTTACAGTGTAACCACAGTGGTAACACGCGATGATCTCGTTGGGAACGGCAGGGTGTGTCTGGCCGAACACGTCCACTGTCGCCTTAGACGCTCGCTGCATCGCACACGTCGCACGTCTACGCCAAATCGGGTAGTAGCTATCTTCCTTCGTAGCTTATCCGTTAGCAGCTTCTCCGCTTCTAGATTCCTTGCTGACCTGTCCGCGAGCTCGCCTTCCAACAGGCGAGAGCTAAACCCGAAAGCGGCCGGTAGCTTAGCGTTTGTTCCTATCTCGCCGTGGTTACGCATCGTAAGCGAACAGGGACAACTATGGACTTCTAACTGTGTACAGCGAGGGGACAGTAAAATGTGAAGTGAAGGTTGGTCACAGGAACCGCCGAGTGCATACAAGACTTTTCCGCGACCGACAAATCGACATGCTAACGACTTATCGACGTAGATTCGTAAAGATGAGACTTGTAAAGCGTGAAACAGACCCTGCCGATCAAAAGACGGCACGCAAGATCGCAACGGGCGACATGGAACCTAAAACACACAGATGAGCAAGCAAGCGAGCTCACTGAAACAAAGATCGCTGGAGCGACCTGATGGCTGAAGAAGACAAAGGTTAGGGAGGGAAAACACAGATCAGGATTCAGCTGAACAGCCACACAATGCGAAAGTGGTAACACAGTATACCAGATTTTCGCTGCTAGTATATCAGAAGCATGCGACCCAATCGTCAAAGCAGCAGGTGCCGAGGCGAAGCCACAACGGAAGGAATTCCTTCGCTAAGCTCGGCGGAGCCACCGAAGAATCGTCGCCAGGACTGAGCGAATTGAAGGAGGCCACATCAACAGTCGCTGTCTGTCGCAGCACGGTATTGCGGTCGCGCGAAGGTTTGACGCACTGTAACCATATGTGCGATCTTGCTTTGGATTTACATATTGTAAGGAAATTCCATTTTCTTTACTGGGCTCGACTACAGCGCGTACGCCCTCGACTCTCGGAAGTCCAGGCGCGGCCAACTTCTTCGGTCCCGAACCATTTCGCGAACCCAAACCTCGACGCGCAGCGCTTCCGTGGCTTTCGCCAACCGAATCGCCCCAACCTTTTCGCGTGGTTCTCGGCCAGCTCTGTTCGTGCCTATGAATGCCTAGGCCCTCATTTGTATTGACACTCTGGAATCACGACTCCTTTATTGCACTACCTGTTATTACTCTGATTAATTCATAACACATGTCTTAAAATGTAACCATATGTGGTGTGCTTATGTAACACTTGCATACATTTTGCAAGGAATTTTATTTCTTACCGGGTTGTACTGCAATCGTGTACACCCGAAATCTCGGAAGACCAGGCTCGGTCTGATTCCGAAGCAACCCTGAGGCTGACTCGCGCTGCCTCCGGGCCCTTTCGACCGCGCCTGTTCCCAACCTAGGCCTCCGGGGTCGTCGCCTAGCTAGAGACCTCGCTATATAGTGCTAGGCTCCCGTTCTTGTACTTGTTATTGTTATTCCACACACTCTCGGTCCTTATTCATAACACATTTGGAGTAGGGTCAAAACTGATAGATTAGACGACCTACAATGGCATTGGTTCTAAGGTGGTACTCGGCTCAGCTTCTATTCTCTTCCCAAGAATGATTATGCAGGCAGATTCCTTCATCTCTACGCCACCCATATTTCCTTCTATGACCTTGCTTGCTGCATGGTCACATGCGACTACTCCCCGCCCTCCATGGATGTGCTTCCCACTACATTCTCCTAGAGCACCCTCACACGAGCATGTATCTGCGTCATTGTGAATGGCACACAGCTTTGCCTTTCCTGAAGAGTAAGTTTTCTTCCCAGAAGCGCGATGAGACAACATCACTGATGATGGCACCTCCTCGAAATAGAGATCTTCACCTGGCATACTGCCACTTTTATGCTTGTCAGATGTATCTCCCTGTGCTTGTTCAAGGTGGTTTACCACCATCGCTTGAGCCCATGCGCTCCTTGGGACGATCACCCGACTGTCCGCCAAGACATGCACGAAGGAAGAACTTCTGGATAGAAGAACGGGTGAGGATTTAAAAGGCTGCTTAGCACAAGATGACTCAACAGCTGCATCGGTTGCAAACGGCATGTAGACTGCAGACCTGCATTCACGGGGTCCCTTAGACCGGTTCTGATGTGGCTGGATAGGTGCTGCTGCGCCTGATGCTGCTGCAGGTGCCACTGCTGCTGAGTCCTTTGCTGCTGCTTCAGATCCTGATGCTGCAGCTGGGACTGCACCAGCAGAGGGAAGGGGCTGTGGCAGCGACACTAGACGCAGCGATGGTGAAAATGCTGCTCCTTGCTGCTGGTCAGGCGAATCCTCCAAACTGTGCTCGCTGTGTTGAGTCCTTACAGCTGCTTGAATGCAGTGCAAGTGGTGCTGCAGTGGGAAAGACAAGGTAGAACCAGGAGCTGCAGTAGACAGAGGCTTGACGTCCATTTTGTTATGATCCCCATGTGTAGCAGCCTCATCTTTTCCACAATGCATAATGACGTGACTGTAACGGGGCTTCTTTGATGCCGTCCCTGCCATCCATTCCGCCTCCAGCTTCTCCAGCTGTGACAATAACGAATCCGCAGCATGCGCAGCGTGGATCCTCCCCTCTGCCGCCACGTCAGCAGCTGCCAGCGTGGCTCTGACATGTTGATCAGCGCTGGCGCCAGCAGTGATGTCCCCCATTGTCGTCATCATGGTCTCTTCCGTGCCATCACCTGCAAATCCGCTGGTGCAGTGAGCTTCATTCAGACAACCCAGAAGCTTGCTGGAAGGTGATTCGGAGTCACTCTGAGCTGCCACTGTCATGACCTTTGAGCCAAAGCTCTGAAGGCTGCTGACGTCATTGCTGGTAGCAGCAGTAGTGGTAGCAGTCGTAGCAGGGGTAGCAGTGGTAGCAGCGGCGTATGCAGCACTGCAGCGCAGGGTCAGGTCCAGTGCATCTGGACGCTTCAAACCGGGCAGAGATAAGGCTCTCTGGCCGCCATGTCCAGATGCAGTTTGAAGTTCAAGTTCCTGAGAGATTCCGGGTTCTTGCTGCTGGTTGCGGGCCCAGCCTGGGGAAGGCCTCTCCCTGACGTGGCTCATACTTATCCGGCCGATCTCAGGCTGCTGGTTCTGCCTTTGGAGCCCACCAAAAAAGTACTGCTTTTCTTGGCTTCGGCCTGGGGGGGAAGCACCGGGCGCGCTGACGCGCATAATCATCAGGGGCGTGGCACAACGGATCGCAATAAAAGCATGCTTCAGAACCCGAGTCCGAGTCAAAAGCAGCTGCTAGCGGCAGTTGTGGGCCCGGCCAGTGGGGAAGAACCATCAAGCTCGCCGCTGAGACTTACTGGACGACCGTTAAGAGACCGGTGAGAGACCGTTGAGAGACCACTGAGAGACAGACTACAGGTTGGGCGAGTCGGGTCTGAGGGTCTCGGAATTTTTTAGGCGCCTCAAAAATGGTCTGAGGGTCTCGGAAAGGTTGAGCCACTCCAAAGGTGAGGAGAAGCTGATGGCGCTTCGGAATCCGTCTACTGGGATTAAGTGCACAACCCGGAGATCACAAACCTCCTCTAAAAAGCTGGGTACTCGTCGAGCTGAGGAGTTATCGAGGAGGTGGCCTACCGTCGGGCTGAAGAAGCGGGACTAGTGGCTACCATAAGCACTGAAGGAATTTCAGTGAGGCGCGCGGGTCAGAGTCAGAAACCCACACTCTCGAGAGCTGCTTCATGAAGACGACTCTTTCGCACCGCTTTCCAAGAGGCGATGATGTCTCACGGATCGGATCTGTGGAAGAGAGGTGCCGTGCCGAATCAGCCTGCCTGCCTGCCCGATTCCAATGCGCAACCTTGGCCTCACATCCCCCCACCCAGCCAGAGGGAGATCATTGCCTTGCCTTCCCCTCTGGGGGAAGGTGCGAGACACGGCTGTTGGCGATCATGACGAGGGGGTACTGGCGAAAACCGCGCTATAGTAATAATGTTCCGATTCTCGGAAAGAGGCTTTCGGTACAGTAGTTTATCCAAAACGGGTGGCAACTGGAACGATGGGTTCGTCATACGATAGTATTCGCGCGATAACTGGCTGGAATCCCTACAGCGACCGACAGTAGTGCTGCCAGCTGGGGGCCCTTACTAGAAGCCGAATCATGCCTGAAGTAGTTCTCGAGGGCGAGTTCCGCCCGGGCCGAATCATCACCCGGGGCGAGTTCCGCTATCCTGCTCGATATCCTTTGCCTCGCCTGGCTCTCCCTGCTACTCTCGCCGCCGTACGTTGGTGTCTGCATCCCAAAAACAGGAGCCAGAAGGACAGGGGGGCTCAGATCGAGCCCACCCTGAAGGGCAGGTCAGAAGCGAATCCGTTAAAACACGACCGGATTCGGACGAATGACGTCAAGCACGCTTGTCACAAGCAACTTCTTCCCGCTGCCAATGCTGCTGCTGGTGCTCAGCAACAGCAACCTCAGACGGGTCTCCTTGTAGTGAGGCGAGATCATGCCAAACAAAAATTCTCTCAAAGCGCACAGAAGCTCGCTACCGTACAGCTCGGCCGCCTTTTACTTGATACAGTCGTACGCTTATGTGAACAGCTTTTCCCGGGCATTGCGTCATTTGAGGCAATTGGACTTAGGCAAAAGGTTAGCGAAGCCGACAAGATGGTAACATCGTGGCTGAATGAGTTGCCATTGAACTGCTAATCTGCAGCCACGCGCTTGTAACAACCACAAGCACTGACGACTCCAAAGCACACACACAGTACTGTAGCTGAAAAAGTTCGACGGTTTAGGGCGTGTCCGACATCTGGTTGCAGCTTCGTAGGGTGCATTGCGTTCTGGTGCGTTTGAAAAACTACATCGAACGGTTGAGTATGGTATTGGAGGAGAATGTACGTTATGGCAGTCAAACAAAAAGATGGGACACCTGCGAGCATGCCGAACAAAAACGGGGGATCGGAAGGGGTGGGGCGAGGGGGGACCACAGTTCAGGCTACACCGCTGGGCTCGTACTCTGTGGGCAGCTAATTCGTCCCGGCGAGGCTGGTCACCAAAACTTCGCTTCAACGCTGTTATGAATTCAAGAGTGTCGATACATATGACGGCCTAAGGCATTTATAGGCACTAACAGAGCTAGCCGAGAACCACGCGAACAGGTTGGGCGGTTATCAAAGTGAACGAATGGTTTAGAATGCCAGGATACAATGATATGTAGCCTAGGGTGTTGAACTCTCTATGGTCTGACCCTATGTAGTCTACAAAACATACACACATATGTTTGACACACCCCCTGGACTAGATAGAGGCAGTGCATGGGGAGAGACAAGCAGCTCAGGGTGGCACTACTAGTCCAACCTCTGAGGCAAGGGTCTAGAGACCAGTCTACAGAGTACAAACAAATGCAAGACCAGACGGTACTATTAGTCCAGCCACTGGGAAGAGGCCACAAGGCCAGTCAAGGAAATATATAAAGAGTTATACACAATCAAGGTCATAGCAAGTGAGGAGCTACACGAACGAGACCAAGCTGTACACAGTGCCGCCAATGATCTTTAGGCGCAAGCGCCTTCGTAAAGATATCAGTTGTGTTGGCACCAGAGGCCAAGTGTATTACGCGGGCCTTGCGACGCTGCTGTAGCTCGCGCAGGAGGAAGTACTGCAGCTGGATGTGCTTCGCCCTGCCCTCGAGTCGCGGCTCCTAACACAGGAGGATCATGGTCATGTTATCCGCGTACACGACCGAGGCAGAGCTAGGCCGCTCACCTAAGTCTGCGAGCAAGAAGGTCAGTCAGCGGAGCTCCTGTGCTGCCATGGCACCGGCGTAGATCTCAGTCTCACAGCTAGACTGGGCAACAGACGACAACTGGGTGGACCGCCACGAGACAGTACATGCACCAAGGCTAAAGCAGTAGCCCTGGGAGGACATGAGAGTCTCAGCGTCGTCTGCCCAAGAAGCGTCTGTGTGCCCGGTAAGGACCACTATTCTGCGTCCTCCTAGCACTAGCCCCATGCCCGATGTACTTGCTAGATAATGCTAGATAATGCAAAACCCTCTTAGCTGCCGACCAGTGTTGTGGTCGGTGTCTGCCGGTGGCCACAACGCGAGCCAGTATGCTGAGAGGGTATGCGAGATCTGGACGAGTGCCAGTTATCGCGTACATGAGACAATCCACCAGCTCTGCATAGGGACCACTAGGCTCTACAGCCTCATCCAGGAATGAAGCAGAGTCTGTGATCTACTGGCAAAGGGGTGGGCTGTGCGGAAGAGAACTGAAGGCCGAACCTTTGAAGGACCTGGTGCACCAAGTGTGACTGTGAGAGAGTGATGGTGCGCGCTGCTCTGTCCCTAGATATCTGCAAGCCAAGGTAGCGGCGCAGCTCTCCTAAGTCAGTGCAGATGTGTCTCTTCAGCAGCTCGGCCTTCACGGAGGCCAGTGCGTCTCTGTCTGCAGTAACAAAAGCCAGGTTGTCTACGAAGACAAGGATGTAAAACGGAGTCTAGTCGGAATGGACGAAGACCGAGGGGTCTGCAGAGGACAGAATGAACTGCAGGTCAGTAAGTGTAGCACGCAGTATGTTGTGCCACTCACGGGGCGCCTGACGCAGGCCGTAGATGGGGTGCCGGAGTACCCAGTGGGTACCAGGAGGAAAGGTACTGGAGAAGCCCTGGGGGCGGCGCAGGTAGACCTTCTCGTGTAGACTGCCCTAAAGGAAAGCTGTGGAGAAGTCGAGGGAGTGCAGCTCGTAGTCACGCTGTGCTGCTACGTATAGCAGCGCCCGAAGAGTAGTAATCTTTGGGGTCGGGGCGAAGGTCTGAAAGAAGTCCACCCCCTCACGCTGACTGAAGCCTCGAGCAACGTAGCGCGCCTTGAAGACAAGCGGCTCTCCAAGAGGGCGCTTCACCTTGAGGAGCCAGCGGCCATCGACTACGTTCACCCCATGTGGGGGAACTGCGTCGACGAAGGTACCGGTGGATCTCCAAGATGCCATCTTCTATTCCATGGCAGCTATCCACTGAGAGGCCCATGGTGCCGAAGTCGCCTCAGCGTAGGTGTGAGGGGTCAGAATGACAAGGGCGTCTGGGTCACCCTCAGGGACTAGCAGCATGGAACAGAGATGGGGAGCAGCCTCTGACAGGAAAGCAAGCTCGTACTGTCTGTCCTCTAGAACGTCGCTGCCAAGGTCAGCCATACCCCCGACGGGCGGAGGGCAGGCAAGGTCAGAGACCAGAGCTGTGGCGTAGTCAAGGTGGCGGGTAACGGCAAAGTCAGTAACAGCTGCGACAAGAGCCGACAAACTCGAAACAGGAACGGGCGGGTCAGTAACAAGAGAGGCAAGGACACGAGTGACAAGAGGACGCGCTGCACGAAGGAAGTCAGAGAACGGAGGGGGGGCCACAGCGAGCGACGACGGAGGAGGAGACGGAAGGAGCGGAGGAGCACGAGACCCATGGGAGCGAAGCAACATAGGGTGGGAACGTTGATCAGGGGAGGCAGGACGAGCACAAGACGGACGACGAGCCCAGACGTGAGACGGGGAAGTCAAGTCAGGAGAGAGAGGAGGAGATACAGGAGGAGAAAGAGGGGGGAAACGAGCCAGAGAAGAGTCCGGCGGAGGGAACACGGGGCTAGAGACCAGCAAAGGAGGAGGCGGCGGCGACGGAGGAGGCACTGGCGGGAGGCCAGGGGAAGGAAGACCGAGGAGGCGAAGAGCAGACACCGGCGGCGGCTGCGGCGGCCGCACGACGCCAACACCAGAACCTCCAGCAGCACCACGACTCACTCCAAGAAGCTCCACTCCAGCACCTCCAGAACCAAAACCCGCTCCGGCATGCTCCCCAGCACCCCCAGAGCGCACGACCCCCAACGGCGGTGACGACGGCGGCTGCGGCCCTGGCGGCGACGGCAGCTGCGGAGGCGGCTGGGGCTGCGACAGCACCGGCGCCGACAGAGGAGGAGGGACCGGGGCAGGGACAGGTGGTGGAAGAGACTCCGCAGAGCCATGAGAGGCAGCAGACTCCTCGGCAGGTACACCCGATGGGAGAGGGGTGACGTGAGACACACCAGACGGGGCAGGGCAGGAAGGGGGGGGGGGGGGCGGGATGACCAGGGAAGGGGTAACCAGGAACAGGCGGGGGTAACCGGGGGACCACGATAGGGAAAGCGGTGGTGAAAGGAGACGGACTCGTCAAAGGTGACGTCGTGGGAGTCAAAGAAGCGGTGAGATGGCAGGCGGTAGAAATGCCAGTCAGACGAGTCGAGGGGGAAACCTATGAAGACAGAGGGGACAGTGCGGGAAGTGAGCTTGTCCGTGCCAGAGGCACGAACGTAAGCAAGGCAACCCCAAACGTGGAATGCAGACGCGTCACTAGGAGACCCGGTCCAGAGGAGGGTCGGCGAATCCTGCGGCCACTGAGGGTGCGGCCACAGGTTAAGCTGGTGAGCGGCGGAGTGAACGGCGAACGGCCACAGAAAATGGAGTGCACCGGCATGGATCATGGAGGTACGAGCCACCTCCATGACCAAACCGATGCGACGCTCAGCGACTCCATTCCGCTGCGGGGAGTCTGGCAGGGTGTACTCCTAGGTGATGCCCTCCGCACGACAGAAAAGACTGAGGGAACCAGAGGCGAACTCGCCACCACGGTCAGAGTAAAGACGCAACACAGGGAGACCTCGGTGAACACGCGCAGAGACAAGCCACGGGATAAGAACGTCAGGCACGGCAACCTTCCACTC